GTAGCTGGTCCCCTTCCTTAGCCGCGAAGACCTAGCCACAGTGATCCATGCGACGGTTACCTCGAGGCTAGACTACTGCAACGCTCTCTACATGCGGCTGCCTTTGCCACAATTTCGGAGGCTGCAGCTGGTGCAGAATGCGGCGGCCAGACTGTTTGCTGGTGTTTCAAAATGGGACCACATCCAGCCTGTGCTGAAAGCGCTGCACTGGCAGCCTATAGCATTCCGGATTCGCTTCAAAGTGCTGGTGCTCACCTTTAAAGCCCTACATGGCCAGGGGCCGGCATACCTGAGGGACCGCCTTTCCCCACACAGGCCCCAAAGAACACTTCGGTCGGAGTCGCAACATCGGTTAGTGGCCCCGGGCCTTAAAGAGGCCAGGCTTGCTGCCACAAGGCACAGGTCGTTTTCGGTGGTGGCTCCTATCTGGTGGAATGAGCTCCCGGAGGAGATCAGGGCCCTGCGGGACTTGTTACAGTTCCGCAGGGCCTGCAAGACGGAGCTCTTCCGCCAGGCTTTCGAATAGGAACCACCGCCACCACCACACCACCACCAACGGGTGCCTGCAAAACAGTACTGCTGGGCCAGGCTGATTGGCCATTTGATCATCGGGGCCATAGCATCCCCTCTTGGACTCAGTATACTGTGCAACAGGGAGTGTGTACGTTTAGTCGCAATGGATCCTTGGGCATTGCCCATTGTATTTACGTAACTGTTTTAAAATGTTTTATCTGTTTTATCACACTGTGTGCCTTGATTGTGTAACCATGGTGTTGTATTACACCTGTGTAATGTAAGCCGCCCTGAGCCCGTGTGCGGGGAGGGCGGGATATAAATGCAATTAAACAAACAAACAAACACTTCTCTCACAGCCAAAACAGTGCTATTAGTTCCTCAAAGGAGGGAAATGGTAGAGAAGAAAGAGTGAGAAAGACATCAGGAATAAGAAAGTAACAAAGAGAGCAGACAGTGTGAGAAACTCTATTTTTACACCCACTCCTACCTCACCCATCCTCCAAGGAGGGGAAGGGAGGGGAAGGGAGACTTCGACACTGAACCTATGAAACAGAGATACAAGGAAAAAGCAAGCCAGAATGAAAGCTCAATAAAATGGAGCAAAGGTGAAATACTAGAGCTGAGATAAAAGGAATTAAAATAAATAGACAAAAGGAATTAAAATAAATAGATAAAAGCTAAGATAGTATAAGGAGCTGCGGTGGTTCAAGTGGTTAAGACGCTGAACTGCAGGCTGTGGAAGGTCGGTATTTCAGCAGTTTGAGACCCGAGTGTGCCGCATGACGGAGTGAGCTCCCATCTCTGGTCCCAGCTCCTGCCAACCTAGCAGTTCGAAAGCAAGAAATTGCAAGCAGATAAATAGGTACCACTTCATTGGGAAGGTAACAGCGGTCCGTGCTCCTCGGCGTTTAGTCGTGCCGGCCACATGTCCACGGAAACGTCTTCAGACAGCGCTGGCTCTTCGGCTTGGAAACGGAGGTGAATGGCTTTCGGCTTGGAAACGGATTCGACTGGCTTTCGAGCAAGGGAAAACCTTTACCTTTACCTTAAGATAGTATAAGATAAAAAATAAAAGCCCTGGAGATGGAGCAGTGCCTCATAATGTCCTGCAACAATGCTCCAGGACTGGCGCTTCTTGCCTGTTAAAACCCTTATTTCTTCCCCACCTCCTAAAAGAGAGAAAGGAGGGAGTCAGAAGAAAAATACATATACATATAAAAGTATTGAAGCTAAAACAAAAGTAAAATGAAACGAAACCTACTCCCTCTCAGCAGAGGACAACTCACGAGCATCTCCTCCCTCTCAGCCCTGCTGGGTAGACTTGCTCCAGATCTGAATGCTGTTAATGCTCTCACCCTGGGGCTATCATCTTGACTGCCCAAAGTTTTGATGGGTTTAAAGGCTTTAATTGTTGTTTTTATGTCTTTGTTATTTAAATTGTCTTTGTTATTTTATGTCTTTGTTATTTAAATTTTATGTCTTTGTTTTTTTAAATTGTAGCTTCTAATGCCTATGTGGGGCTATTCCATTTAATCCTCACAACATACCGGTGACAGAAGACTGGCAGGGTGACTTGCAAAAGATCCTTCAGCGGGAGGGTTGCAGCTGTGCAGGGATTGAAATCTGGCTGTCCCACCCACCTAGCCACTATGTTGTGCATCTTATGGACATCACATGAACCCCCAAAAGCCAGTGTGATGTAGTGGTTAAGAGTGTCAGACTAGTATCTGGGAGACCTACATTCACATCTGCACTCATGCCACGGAAATTCTCTGGGTGCCATCAGGCCAGACACACTCTTTCAGCCTAACCTACCCGACAGGGTTGTTGTGAGGATAAAATGGAGAGGAGAATGATGTAAGCTGCTTTGGGTCGCCATTGAGGAGAAAGGTGGGGTAGAAATGAATTAAGTAAATAAAATAAACACAAAGCTGCCTTATAAAAAGCCAGGCCACTGGTCCGTCAAGGTCAAGAGGGTCTACTCTACTCAGACCAGCAGAAGCCCTCCAGGGTGTCTCAGGCAGAGGTCTTTCACCTCATCTGCTGCCTGTTTCTTATCATTGAACCTGGGACTATCTGAATGCAAAGTTTTGCTCTGCTCCTGAGCCACAGTCTCTCTGTCTCTCTGCAATCTTCAGCCCACAGATACGTCCTAGAGCTGTCCTGGCATCAGACACAGGCCTCAGGATGTGTGTGTGAACAGTGCTGGACGGAAGCCAGAGGCAGAGCTAGAGAGAAAGAGGGGATGGATTTGCCCCCCAAGAACCCCTGCCCCCCAGGGTCTGCAAAGAGAACTGACCTGGCCAGATCCCTCTTGCTTGCTCCCGAGGTCTTCAGTCTCTTGCTCTTGCCTGGAGATTTCTGCCACAGTCAGGTCAACTTGGGTCTGAAGCTTACTGGCATGCTTGTTCTCTTCCTTGACATCTCTGAACATGGCCTGGACTTTCTGCACAAAGGATCAGAACAAGCAGATAAATGGATTTATGTATGCTATATACACATGTCTGTCGGCATTTGCCAAAGAGGCTGGGGATCCCAAGGGATCCTGCCTCCCTCTTTCTCCCGGGTCACCTTGTTGCTGAGGCCAGTGGTAGGACAGCATCATTGCAGTGTGGTTACCTGTGGGCACAGGCTATTTTCCCAGGTGATGCAGTGAACTGCTTCAGGGGCCATCAGAAGTGTCTTTTGACCGACGGGGAGTAAAGCTGCCTGTCCGATCTCAGCAGCTTTGCCATTCTATGCAGGCCCAGAGACTCCAGCTCCTAATCCCTGGATTCTGAGGTTCCCATCAAATATCTGGTCTTTACTGACTTTACCGTAGGTTATGTTAAATGGAAGTTTTGCTGGCAACAGGGCTGCTTGCTGCTGTAATGCCCGGGTGCCCGACATTCAGCCCCTGGGTCAGTGATTGGCACTGGGCCCGTATCTGTGCCCTTTTGTATGAATAAAGTTGGTTATCTGGTCCCGCTGGTGGACCTCCTGATGGCACCTGGGTTTTAGGCCACTGTGTGACAAAGAGTGTTGGACTGGATGGGCCATTGGCCTGGTCCAACATGGCTTCTCTTATGTTCTTAAACTGTTTCTGGACTGCTTTTGTATCACTATCAAAAATCCATTGTTCTGAATAGCTAACAGGCGACACTTATTGTCAATCAAAACGTTCATACAGCCACTGCTGAGAAAATGTGGATGCCTCCAAGGGAATGGGACAGGCCTTGTTTTGCCAAAGCAATGGGATATGGCCTTAAAGTTTATATCTGCTCTCTCTATGGATCTTAAGTGGTGACATATTCAGCAAAAAAGTATGTTTGGAATCCACTGGACACCACGACGAATCTTTAGTGAAGTGTATAATTTAGGGATGGGCGTGTGGTTTGGTTTACGGTTTGTGACTGAACCACAAACCAAATCACAATTCCATACAAACCAGGAGGCTTATTCGTGAACTGACCTGGTTAGTATCAGTTTGTGAGTCATTTAAAGTTTAAAAGCCAGGGTTTCCAAACAGCTGAGCGGCGGAAACGACCGTTCAGCTGATTGGTTTAAATGGCCTGGAGCCATTTAAACCCTGGTTTCTTCTCCTCATGAAAAGCCACGAGGAGCAGAAAGCAGGGGTTTCCAAACAGCTGTTTTTCCAAACAGCTTCTCACTGTTCACAAACTGCCATGAACCACATCAAAATTTGTGGAAGTTTGTGGTAGCCCTTCAGTTCTGAGGTTTTTCACCCCCTTGTTCTTTTTTCTCTTTTTTCGGGGGGGGGGGGAATAAACAAACAAGGCCTGCTATCCACAGGTGGGCCTCATGCAGCTTGGCCTTGCGCACCTGAGCATCCTCCTTGGTGAGTGACTCCACTTCTCCAGCAGTTTTCCAGGCCTTAGCAGAGATGGAGGCAGAATCTCCCAGAATCCTCTGCACCTGCCTGGCCTTCTTCTGGGTGTCCATGATCCCCCTCTCTCGAATGGCTGTCATTCTCTTCACAAGAGACTGGCTGCCCTGGTGTCTTTTCATCCCTTGTGGGGAAAAAAAAGAGGTTGGCTATTCTTGTTTGCAACTGTGAAGAAGAATTCTGATTTCTCCCACAGGTGAACCGATCCTGAAGGAGAGAGTACGGAGTTTATGAGCAGGATCTCCTGCTTTGGTTGACCTTTAATGATCAGCAGTGGCATGTGGGAGCTTTGAAGGTCAAGGAAAGGGTGAATGCATGAAGCTGTCCTGGACAGAGTCAGATCGGTGGCCCTTCCAGCTCAGCACTCTGTCTACTGTGACTGGCAGCGGCTTTCCAAAGTCCCAGGAGGAGGAAAGTGTCAAGCTCAGGCTAATTATGTTAACTTTCATTTCCTGCAAACTCTGTTTTCCAGTACCTTCTCTTGCCATTCCTAACGGTGTGGGTGTGTGTTGTTGGAGTGCAGGAGTAGATGGCAGTAACTTTCCTAAGAAGCACCTCAAGTCTGTTCTTGTGAGATTGGCCTTGAAGCACCTTTCGCTGCCAGCCTAGTTTATATATCTGTCAGTATTGCCATAGTAATGCCAGGGGTGTGAACGACGCGTGGTTGTGGTATTTTATGGTTTTACCTGTATCTTGTAATTTCCTGCGCATTTATTCAGTCCTAACAAAAGCTCTTGACCCAACAGCATTCGTATCTCTAATAAAGCATTACACTGCCAATAGTGTGTGTGGAGTGACTTGACTGGGTGGGGACCCGACAGAAGGGCCTTCCCATCACCTCCAGCCCCTTCCATCTGTGGAGCCTGACCGCGCTCACGGGCGGGGGCCCCCTTGCCTGCCCCAGGAGGAGGGAGAGGCGCACGAGGAGGTGATGCTGGCGTTCTGATGTCACTGCAGAGGGGTGGGGCCGGCTGGGGTTTAAGCGTGGCTCTGCCCCCAGCCCTTCCTCGTCAGCGCTCAGACCGACCAGCAGCGTGGACTGGGCTGCAGTGCTTGTGCAGTGAGGGGTGGCAACCTAAAGGGTTGGGCCAATATTGTAACTCTAGATCTAACTCAAAGGATGACATCTGGGCAAGTGTGAAAGTTGGCGTCAAGGAACCTCCTTGATGTGCAGATGAAGCTTGGCCATTCCCTGGTCATCAAATGCGCATCTGGCAGGAAATGCTTGACAGTGGTGGCGGAGGCAGCGGCAGTGGCCAAGGGAGCACGCTGATGACTGGAACAGGCCAGGGGTGAGTGGGCTTGGGTGTGGAGACCCGCAGCCTCTGCAGTGGTGGCTGCTGTCCTTGGGGAGCTGGGCAGCTGCTGGGGCAGGCAGCGAGTGAGCGGGGCCTGGGGCGGGAGATCCAACCCAAGCAGCTGATTCGGCGAAGGTGGCGGCCCCTGCAGTGACGGCAATTTCCTTTGGGCCTGGTGGCTGCCGGTGCAGGACAAGGGTGAGAGTGGCCTGGTGTTAGAGAATAAAACTGATCTTTGATTTATATTTGCTGCCAAACACTATGACTGTGCACATAGGCTCAAAGAAAGCTGTAGAAGTCACCTGTTGTGACATTACGCAGAGAAAGTGACTACTCTAAGCCTTGCATGTTAATGAGGTTTCAAATACACAGCTACTAGCCTGAGGGAGAAAGCACACATCACCATTATTGTCAGCAGAAACAACAATTTAGGGAAAAGCAGGCCCATTGATGAACTGTTGAAAGACACGTATTACACATCTCTGCTTTACATCTGAATGAGCATTTCCTGCCAGATGCGCATTTGATGACCAGGGAATGGCCAAGCTTCATCTGCACATCAAGGAGGTTCCTTGACGCCAACTTTCACACTTGCCCAGATTCCATCCCTGGAGTTAAATCTAGAGTTACAATATTGGCCCAACCCTTTAGGTTGCCACCCCTCACTGCATGCAGCCAATGAGGTTAGTTTTGGGACGGACTAACAGGTAGGTAGGTCCACAGGCTGGCTCAGCTGCCACCCACCCAAAGATTCACCTATAAAAGACAAGGTCCAGTCGCTTGGCCCCTGCTAGCCGCCTCCCCCCCCCCCGTCTGCTTTTAAACTTCTCTTTTGTCCAGTTTTATATTCCAAACCCTGGAATCCACTTGATTTCTTAATCTGCAGTTAAGAGACCCACACAAGCTGGCTGGTTCTAGCTGTGTGTTAACTCCCCTAGTATTCTAAGTTTCTGACCCTCCATTCTTCATTAGGATGGACAAGCTTCAGGACAGGTAAGTATTGCTCTCCATCACCCCACCTGCGAATGCAAAAGAGATTCTTTGTAACTCTGTATTCCTAAGGAACTTGATTGAGTGTGTGTGTGCTTCAGCATTGTTTGTATGTGATTTATATACTCTTAAGTAAAAGACAGATTATTTTGGAACCACCAGCCTCGACTCTTTCACTGGCAAACCCTTGGGGTGGACTGGACCTTGGTATAGCTGGAGAAAACAAATTTGCCAACTGCTGTAGTTTGGCTAACACTGGGGAAGGTGGCCAGGCCTGGTGGCTGTTATGCAGCCTGGGGGGAGCTCTAGGGCAGCACCCATCTGCTATGCCAGCCGGTGGCAAGCCAAAGGGATGGCTCACACCCGGGGCAAGATGGCTTGCCCAGCATATGACAAGGAAGTGGTCTGGAGCGACCCCTGGCCTTGGCCTGTTTCCGCACTTGGGGGTTGCCCTTGCCGCAAAGTTGTAAATAAACAAAAGAAAGTGGCCCAAAGTTTAACCCAAATGGGTGTTGGTCTCTTTCTGCTGATGAGGGGGGGGGAAATGCTCCCTGAGATCCTTCAGATGCGATGCCGGGGATTGAACCAGGGACCTTCTGCATGCAAAGCAGGTGCTCTGCCACTGAGCCCCAGCCCCAGCCCATCATTTGTTTTCCCCTCTTTCTGTGGTTGTTGTCTATTCATTTAATAATGCAATGGAGCTTTACATAGGATAGGAGGACATGTCTCTGCTCCAAAGAGCTTACAATAAAAAATGGAAGTCACAGGAGGGAGGGGGGAGACGGGCAGGAGAAGACTCGATGTTATGACTTTTAATGAGACAAATATGGAGAAAGTGCTGTAGGGGTTGGATCCTGATTGGATGATGGTGAAGGGAAGAAGTGATCCTGCCTTCCCCCTGTGCCTTTTTCCTGTGTTAAAAGAGCCTCAAGGGGCGTTATTTGATCTGTTCCAGAGCTTTATGTGCAGCCTCAGAATAGGGCAAATAACACTACCCCAGGGGCATTTAAAAGGTAGTTACCTGCAGATCCTGTGTGATATGTGAAGGGACAAGGGTTCAGTCTGAGTAACCCAACTTGTTAGAAGTCCTACTATCTAATCTGAGCTGTATAAAGCTTAGTTTTCAGCACAGAAGTGGGGCTATGGAATTGCACCAAAGGCTTTTTGGAACAGGGTAAGTTTTGTGGAGGGACCTGAAGGCATTGAGACAAGGTGACACCATACAGGTGCTCCAAGAGGCAAAAGAGACAGCAAGGAAGAAAAGGCAGAGATGTTTGAGTGTGCATATGTGTGTGTGTGTGTGTGTAATTACATGGGCCTGAAGGGTGAAACACCCTCTTCCCCCAATACCACTTTCTCAGTCTTCAAAGCACTCACACAGAGTTGCTAATTGGGGGGGGGGGGTGCACACCCCAAACATAGCCCCCATGTCCCCAACTAGTTTGAGCCCTAGAAGCAACGAGGAGTTGAGGAGAGTCTTCTGTGATCTGGAGGATGGGAGATCTTTAGCTAGCACAGCTATCCACAAGCTCCACCCACCCATCCGCCAGGCCGCATTTTCCTACTCAAGGTAACACATGGCCAAGATGTAACATGCAAACCCGTGCAGAGAATATCTGCACAGAAAGTCACTACTGGACAAACTATACATCAAACTGAAAAGCAGATACAGAATTTTGTTTTGTTCTATCCCTAGTACTTAAATTCGTTTTTAAAAAGAAGCGGCAAGCCTCTGGGCTGAGCGGGAGTGTTCTCTTTTGGGGATTTGCACAGGCTGCCGACAGTTACCATCCAGGCCAGAGAGGAAGGTCTTGGCTTTGGAGAAAACAGCCTCTCCGTTTGAGAGCGATGAGGTGGCCAGCAGGTGTGCGCTGTTTGCTCTTTGCCGTAGCTGTGAACAGAGAGAAACCAGGAGTGAGACTCTTGCACACAAGCAGCCAGAAAGAGATCCCATCCGTGACTTGGTAACATATCTGGGCTTCTTGGGGACAATTCTCACGTCATAAAGTCCTTGCGTCCACCACCGGTCCTGTACATACACTTGAAGTTCTGTACCCAGACTTAATTCCCTGACATGTGAAAACACAGTTTCGATAAGGGCCACAACAGACAGGGAGGGGGCGTAAGCCTCCGCCTCTCCTCCCGGCACCATTTACCCATCCTGAAAGGGCTGCTATCTGCTCCACTGGGAAAACTTGTGTGTAGCCATCAGGATAGGCAATTTCCCCCAGCAGGCCCAAGGCCTGTTTCAGCTTGGGAAAATGGCATGGGGGGAAAGGCGTAGGCACTGTCTCCCTATGTGCCATGGTCCCGATCCACATTGGGCCCATAAATACTTGAACCTCCCATAAATACATGAACCTCCGAGATGACGTCTGTCGACAGGACCTATAAAGGTCACGAGGACTTTGTAACGTGTGATGTGGTCCATCATCTCTAGCTCTCCAGCGGTTGCAGTGGCCTCCCCTTTACTCTGGGGTCTCTAGAGAGGAGGGCCTCCTAATCATCCAGTGGGCTGGGAGGAAGGAGGGAGGGATGCTTGTTCCAAGTTCTGTCTGTGCCTGAGAAACTGGTTGTCAGACAGTCAAACTCCACAACAGGCTGCAAGATCTGTGCCTGGCTCTTCCCAGAGTTTTAAGGAAGCAAATCGCAACTGCAGATCCCCAGTCCAGTGTTCCCTCTAAGCTCCACAGTGGTGTGAGCAGAAATCCTGTCTTGTGAGCAAAAAAGTTAGCATTAAAGCTGTGAGCGAGTCTATGTTTGACTATCACATGAATTAGTTTCTTAGAATATTATTTCCATAACCTTGTAAAAATCTCAGAATGCATTCTTTTAAACTGTATTTTAAGAATAATTTAAACATTATGAGAGAAAACAGAATCAAGTCAAATTTCATTGCAGAAAATGTTGTCCTCTATGGGGGTAGACCTGGCTTCAGGAGAAAAAGTCTACCCACCCCTTTCCACTGTATTGGTAGACCAGGCTTCCGGAGAACAGGTCTACCTGCCCCAGTCCAGTATACTGGTAAACCTGCCCTCTGGAGAACAGGTTTGTCCCGGTTCCCCAGTCCCGGGACGGGACCCCCCACCCCCGGAGACGCACCCACGTCCTGACTCATCCCGACGGCAGCAGAGGAATGGAGAAGCAATGGCACCGCGGCCCCCGAAGGAGACACGGCACAGCAACCCAACGCCTAGCGGTTCAAACGGAGGTCACAATGCCGGCAGGGCGAGACCCTCACAGCAAGCGCCGTGTCATGCCAACCCCAGGAGCCGGGGCTCCAGCCCCACCAACACCCAGGCAGCGGCTCACTTGCAACCATGCCCTGGACGCCTGGAGAGCGTCCGTGTATATAAGAGGGGGTGGGGCCAGGTCGGGAGGAAGGGAGGCGGGGGAGAGGGGCGGCGCCGGGAGTGGAAGGGAAAAATAAAAGAGGAGCTCTTCAGAGAGACCGGGGAAGAACAGCGTGCGAAGGAACGAAACTGCGAAGGTGAAGGATAAAGAGAGAAAGGGAGCAGTATCCAGCGCACGAGGCAGAGGGACTTGAGGGGTGCTATTAACCCCGTCCCCTGCTAGTCTGAGGTCCTTCCGCACCTCCCTTTTGCGATCCACCTCCGACTCCCAGCAGGGAAGCCAAGCACAACAGCCACGGGTGGGTTCCCCCAAGCCTACAGGAGAAGCCCGTCACAAAGTCTACCCACCTCTTTCCACTATATTGGTAACTGGGCTTCCGGAGAACAGGTCTATCTGCCCTAGTCCAGTATATTGGTAGATCTGGCCTCTGGAGAACAGGACTACCCGCCCAAGTCCACTATATTGGTAGACTTGATCTTGGACTGTTGCCCTGCACTGACCCTTAGAAAACATACCAGCACTTGTGGGGGCGGGGGGAGATTCTTGCAGTCTACAGGCTTGCAGTTTACATTGGTATTTTTTTTAGTGAAATATGACAACCAGCATTACAGGTCAAGTATAACAGAGGTGGGACAATCACTGTCAGAACCCTGCCTAATTTAACAAACAGGAAGTTGCTTAAATGTTATCAACCTGCCAAACTACTTGTTTATTCAAATATTTATATTCCACTTTTCCTGTTACTCATGGCAGCTTACAAATCATACTGAAAAGAATAATAGGAGTGTGCAAAACATGTTTTTTTTCTGGCTCCATTGTAGCCTATGGGACCATGTCATTGGTCATTGTAGTCAATGGGCTCCATAAGCTATAATGAAGAATGGATCCAGGGGTATCTGGGGCTGTCACGGCTCAGGTGGGGTGTCACCTGACGCTGCCACCACTCTGGATTTAGGTTCCCTTGAGAAGGCCCAGAGCACCCTCCCAAGACCTTCAGACCTCCCTTTAGGCCGAATAACAGGCGTGAGGACCAGGTAGAGTAAAACAAGGAAAAGGTTTATTTCATAGGAGGTCAAACAACAAGGTGCAAAATAATAACAGTAAGTGGGTGAAAAGAAATCAAATGCCCTACCCTAGCTCCTCAAATTTACTTTCCCTAGCTCACGTGGACTCTGTCATTAAACCCTGCTGAGGTCGCCACAGGAAACTGACACTGTTTGCCCAAAGCCAGAGCACTCACCCAGAGCCTCTTTCTAGATCCCGTTGTATTTATTTCCGCAACGGGCATTATTTCTAGTATAGTATAATGGAGAATCAATTTTGGGCTCTGGGGAAGCTGTTTCTTGAAGCAGAGGCAACAAATTTGCAGCATAGCTGCTGGCGCCTCTCCTCAACCCCCCCCCCCTTTTCAAAAATATTGGACCAGGGGGTCCAATTCTATGGGCCCCAGAAGGAGGTGCCCCCCATCCTCCATGGTTTCCTATGGAAGTTTGGTTGTGAGCAGAAGCATTAATCCTCTGAGGTGGCCTCTGAAATGTTGTGTGCCAGCACCCCCTAGTGCAGCTTAGAGGGAACTGTGACACCCCCCCACCCCAACTCAGGTCACAGCTGCAGTGCTAGGACAAAAGGAGGCTTCACCTCATGAGATTTCACTGATCAAAATTGACCACTGAAGGCTATTAACAACTTTGGAAGATATAAAAGGTAAGGAAAGATGTGGCGGTTGGCTTTTCCCTCTTCCAGGACTGCTAACAACATGGGGCAAGAAATGGCTTTTGACTGATGAAACTTCTTGGTGAAGGAAGATGGTTAAAGTGCAACATTATGTTCTAAGCACGCACAAAAAACAAAAGAGTGCCAGTGGAGATTTGGCAGAATAAATTACAGAGCACTGGACAATAAAACAAAAGCTACAGTTTCTGGCTAGCTAAATGCAACATCTGGCTTATACCTGGTTTGCCTCTATGGGGTGGGAAAGGCTGTTTATCCACATGTGCATGTTCCAACAACTGTGGCCGGACCGATCCAGGGACTGTCTGACAAAGTCTTCCTTCCTCTCATTCCACATTTCTGGTTGGCTCTGGGAAGGTGGGTGTGTCTCTTCCTGCCCAGTACCAAAGAGGAGTTCTGATTCAAAATTCCCACCAACAGAAGTTTGGTCCACAAACTATTTTGCAGGATTGGGTGCGGTTTGGCAACTGGGAGTTTTGGGGGCCAAGCAGAAAGCTTGAAGGCTGGGGAGCAAGGGCAACATATGGGGGGGGGGGCAACTGGACAAGACTTTCCTTTGATATCTGGAGTGACACTTCTGAGGCTCCTGTGACAGGCTAGGTCAGGGGTGGGCAGCCTGTGGGCTGGAACCGCCCCCTGCAGGGCTCACATTCAGCCCATGAGTAACTGGCTTTGTCCTGCTTCTATCCCTGGGGCTGCTGCTGTTGCCCCTGCTTCGCAGCTTGCTTCCACCCTTCTCCCTCAATGCGCTGGGAGAGAAACAAAACCAAGCCTCCCTTTGCTCCATTAGCTGAGTCCCCCTTTGGGCAGGAAGGGAGGGCGAGAGCCCACGCATGCAAGAGAGATGGGGTCCCATGGCACCTTTAAGACCAACAGCGTTTTATTCCAGGTATAAGCTTCTGTGTGCATGCACACTTCTTCATAGAGGGGGGGGGATACTTCTGACAAGCACAATTTACATTAAGATCACCCTGCTCTGCTGTATACTTTGAGACCTGATCTCACACACGCAAGTTAAAAAAGGAAGAAGGGCAGGAAAGAGATGCATCTGGGATAAAGGGAATTTTAAAAATTATTTTGGCTTATTCTGAAAAGTTGTGGGGTTTTTTTAAGATTAGATTTCACTGTGCCTGTTTGGAATTTTATTTTCTTTCAAAAAGATCCTGATTAGGCATTTAATGACTGGAAGTAGATAGCTAAGTATTTAAAAATACATTTATGGTTCCATTTATTCTGGTTCAATGTGGCTCCCTCTCTCCCCTCCCATCTCACTGGCTGCCTTTCTTCACATTAACCCCCACACCTTTTGCTTTTTTAACTGTTTCATTATCATCACTAACACTAAGTGGATTTTGCTCAGTCTGAAATCAACACATTATTTCACTTGGAGAGATCCCCCTTTCCAGTTCTAACGGATGGGGGGGGGACCCTAATAGCACAGCTTGCATTCTTTATTAGTGGAAAGGAGTAAGAGTCCAGCAGCACCTTAATTACTAACAAAATTTGTGGCAGGGCAAGAGCTTTCATGACTCACTGCTCACTTCTTCAGATACAGCTAGAATGAGAGTCCATCTGTCCTTATATCTCTGAGAGTGAAGTGATTTAAGACGCCAAATGACAATAGCAGGCATTGGTAATGACAGAAGAAACCTAGGGACACATCTGGGGTGCCTTATAGATAAAGGCCTGGATTTTACTGAGATCTGAACCAGAAGAATTTATAGCCAAGTCGTGTGAGGGGCAGTCAATGGGCTTCAAAAGTGGATGTAATTATGCAGGATCCCAGAAAACAAATCTTGCTATTTCAGACATCTCTCGATACCCTTCCAAGGGAGCAGTTGAAGGCAGATCAGAAGGGCCCTGGTTGCTCCCGGTAGGAAAGAGGAAAAGGGGGACCAGATAACTTGATCAGAAGAGAAGAGAGCTGAACAACAGTAGAATTGGTTCTAATAAAATGGCACCATTTGTTTAACTTCAGGATATCTCAGGTTGGGAGCTGTTCTGTCAATGGTGCTGGAAGAAGGAACCTCCACTAGCAGAGACGAGGGCAACCATAGCTCTTATTTTTGTTGTATTTGCAGCCTGTTTCACAATGCCTGTTTTGCACACATGATTTCTTTCTATCGTACATGATGAAATATTTGCCCACATCCGTAAAAATGGATGGATCAGTATTGAAAAACTCAAGTTCAAGCGTTAACTCTATTCCCTTCGTTTGTAATATTTGTTTCAGTTGATGACTGGATGACTTATTTCATGGTTATACAACATATGCAAACTAACCCCCCAAGCAATAAAACTGTTCCTGTTTAGCAGGTTCCAGTACAGCAGTATTAACTTTAACAGCCTGGTCATAAAGACACCAGTATCAGCAAACAGGAGATAGGCCATAAAATATGAAAACAGATGGGATAAACCTTTAGTTAAAGGCCTGGGTCCTTCAGGCGCTCCTGCCTCAAGCCTTTTGAGGGCTTTAGATGTTAAATGGGTGCCCATGACAGACCCTCTCCAAGGCCTGCGCCTCTCGATCTCAGCACTCAGGGTTGCCGACTGACGTTAAATCTGCTGCTTGACAAAGTCTGGCTCTGATAAAACACAAATGGAGCTTGAAAAATATCAGCCTCACCCCTTTTTAAAGTAAAATCGGCTAATTCCCTTGATCTCTAGCCAGCAAAGGAAAACTAGTTGATTTCAATTCTTGTTGTGGGCATCTCAAAAGGTAACATTTGAAGTTTTTGTGGACTAGATCCTGCTGCTTCAGACACACCCAGTTCCTAAAAGTTTATACTGCAATAAATGTTGTTAGTGTTTAAAGTGCAACAAGACTCCAGATTATCAATCTGAACAGATTATCAATCTGAAATTCCAAAATGATTGGACTTTCTCGCTGCACTAAGTTTCAGGTTAACTCTCTGAATTTCTAAAATTGATTGCTGAACCACAGCATGCATTGTTTGCCACAGCTTTCTGTTCCTTTCATTCACTTTGAATTGTTTTCCACTTCTATGCTGGTGGTGGTGGGGAAGTGCCGTCAAGTCACAGCTGACTACGGTGACCCCATAGTTTTTCAAGGCAAGAGACATTTCAAAGTGGTTTGTCATTGTCTGGATCTGCAGAGTGACCCTCGACTTCCAAGGTGGTCTCCCTTCCACGTACTGACCAGGGCTGACCCTGCTTAGCTTCCGAGATCTGATGAGATGGGGCTGGCCTGGTCCAGTCAGGTCAGGACACCTTTATCTGACTGATGTGCAGGTGTGCATTGATACTGCAGAAAGAGCAATCTCAATGCAGCTGTACCTGTGACTGAAGCAAGTGTCTTTCATTAGGTCTTCTCTTGGTGGCATGTGCATTCCTGCACCGGAAGTGTGTCAGAAGGCCCGGCTACTTACCCTCCTGCTTCATCCTCATTCCCAAACGGAATGAGGATCGAAGCAGAGGGCGGGGTAAAGAAGGGGGCGGGGCTTCACCACGTGACCGCCCCGCCCCCTAGAAGTTCTCTTCCGGAGCTCCGTACCTGAGAGCTCCCCCCCGACTAGAGCCCTGCTTGTAGCATAGAGAAGGGGAACAGGGCATATAAACGGCAGGAACGGAAATCTACACACACACACTCTGCACAAAATCAGCAAAACAAAATACAGAATACAGGATTCCCAGCACGTTAATTCCACTGCAGAAACAAGAGCAGGTTGTTCAGATTCCAAAACCTGGGAAGAAATTTGGAAGAGGAAAATTTCACCTAACCTGTTCCAGCTGCTGTATCCTCCATCGCTCTCTCTCTAGGCCAGCCTGCACTGCGAGGGACCGGTTCACCACCTGCTCTGCCTTTAACTCTGCCAGCTGCTTCAGTCCTTCGGCATTTCCAGTAAGATTTTCCACTTGTTGCAGCAGGGGGTGCTGTAGGATCAAATACCAAAGTATTTTAGCCTCATCAAGCACAGCATTCTGATGGTTTTTAAAATTGTGCCTAAGGCTGCCTCAGGAATTTGACTGTAGCACATAACTTTTAATAAGCAAACAAGGATTTCAGACTCCAGCCAGAGTTAAGCACTTTGAAGCCCACTTGCTTTCAGTGAGTTGACACTCTTGACCAAACTGCTCCAGGGTGCTCAGCTTCAGAGGCATCGTGCCTTTCAGTCCCTTTCTCTGGAACAATGCTGACTTGGGGGGGGGGTAATTTCTCTGCAGGAATGAGCCTTCCTTCACCAGACTGTCTGGCCCACTGGCTCCCTATTCCCTTCCCTATTTGGGACTCAGCTGACAGCTGAGCCATTCTGTGGAAGGCAAAGGAGAGAGAACCAGGCCCCTTTTACTGCGCAGAAGAACCAGTGGTCAAGATAACAGGCAGTGGGCAGACTAGGATGTTCAAAACCGTCCTGGAGGAAGCAGAACCAAGTGGGCTCTGCAAAGGTGGGGCCTGGAGGTCTCCCAGAATTACCACGGACAACTCCAGACCACAGAGGTCAGTTCCCCTGGAGAAAAAGGTGGGGGCTACAGCATCACTTCCCCGCTGAGCTCCCTCCCCTCCCCAGACTTGGTCCTCCACCACCTCCTGGAATTTCCCAACTCACCGTTGGCCACCCGAGCCCCCTGCAGGGCTGGCAGAACCACAGGGGCCCCTCAGGATGGGGCAACAAGGGCTACACACCCACCTCCATGGCTTCTGCCTGCTTGTGGCTCTCTGGGCAGCAGCCCACCAGGAACTCTCCCGGGGAGCAAAGGGGCCAATCCACCCGTCCCCCAGGAGGCAGAGGGCACTGCCCTGCAGATGTTCCTGTGGTGGCTGCTGCTGCTGCCATTGGTGGGAAAGAGCTGCCGACTGGCTGCTGGCCTCAGCTGAGGAGAGCTAGGTTTCCCTTGCTCGAAAGCCAGCCGAATCCGACTCTAGGGATGCGGTGCTCATCTCCGTTTCCAAGCCAAAGAGTCAGCGCTGTCCAAAGACTTCTCCGTGGTCATGTGGCCGGCATGACTAAACGCTGAGGCTGTTACCTTCCCACCGAAGCGGTACCTCTTTATCTACTATCTTGCTTTCGAACTGCTAGGGTGAGGAGAGCTGCTGCTTCTCAAAACAACATCTGACTTGCAGGTGCCCATTTTGGGAGCGGGAGGAAAATTTTCCCCAAGGCTGCCACAGCCCCCGAACAGCAACCCCCAGCCTGTCACTAACATTTGAAATCCACACTGGAATCTCTCCAGGAGGTTTGCTCATCACGAGGAAAACTCACCTGGGGGAAATGGACATTCTTATTGACTTTTCTACATATTACAATGTTGGTGTGTGCCAACCACTTAAGGTGTGCTCAGGACTGACAAGGATCCATGAGGAGGGGGTGGAGCTCAGTGGCGGAGCATCTCCTGGGCAGAGGAGGCCCTTCATGCCCGGACAGCCTGACTGCAGAGAGTCCCGGCAGCCCAGCCTCAGGCTTCCCCCGTCTGTGTGCCTGCCGTAGGCGCCAGTCGTTTCTTCAGTGCATTCTGTGGATCTTTTCTGCCCAGTCTTTCTTAATTGGGGTGGGAACGTCACTTGTGACATGTGAGGGGTGGCATCGAAAGATTTTATTTAAAACAATGAGGCTCCATTTTAATGTTAGGCTTCCAGAGACTGTCAAAATGGACCCCCCCCCTCAAATTTGTCCACTAAAGCATTAAAGGGGGGAATTTTTCAAAGCTTTCCCATACCAGTCTCTCTCTCTTTCTCTCTCTCTCTCTCTCTCTCTCTCTCTCACTCACACACACACACACCGCTAATGTCAGTTCCATTCTGCCCTGACGATCCTCATTTTGATTGCAAACAGGTATAAAAGTATTATTACTCACATGTTAACTGAGTCCCATCTCTCTCCATGGTTTAGATACGTAGAGGAGAAACTCTCTACAATGGGAATATCCCCGGATTATTTAGCCCCCTTTTCAGATAAACAAACCTATGCTATTATTAAACAAAGATTACTTGACATCAAAAGGCAAGAACTTAGGGAATGCGCAGCCAGCAGAGGCTCCCCAAGCAGGTTGGGGACTTTTGACATGGGCTCTACTGCGAAGTATCTGTCAAGTTTAACAGCCTCACACCATCGCAGAGCATACATGCTTGCACGCTTGGATGTTCTGCCATCAGAGGTGCTTTTAGGGAGGTACCGCCAGATACCATATATGTAGACAGACTTTGTCCTTAGGGCTCTCCAAAAGGTATAGAATCCACTACACACACCATACTTCATTGCCCCCTCTATAGGGATATCTGATCTTGTTTTATTACTCCACTTCTAGAAGGTAAGAGCTGGCACTCTGATGACTCCATTGTTCACTTTCTTCTGCTTAATTCTAGTTGCGAAATAATGGAGGCTGTTGCAAAAGTTTTATATTATGCAATCAGAAGACGAGGTTTGAATAGCCAAGTGTAAGTGATTGGTGCATCTTAGTATTTTCCCGTATTTCCATGATGTTTTGTGCTTTCATGCCAATAAAGGTTTTGTGTGTTGTTGTACTTTACTTAAAAGACGCTGGTCACATTCAGAGCGATTTGGATATGCTCCTGGAAGTTACAGACGCTTCTCTGTTTCAAAATGGCACTGTGTTGCTTATGCAAAGCTTCAACTTTGGCCATCCCTGTTCCGTTGCTCACTCCCCCATGTCCGCCGACACCTTCCGCCATCAGCTCGGGAGGCTTCTTAGGTACCGGTGCCACCACCCCATGCCCCCTGTAGCTGCTGCTGCCCTGCACGCTGCCCCCTGCTTCAGGAAGCCCGCCAAGGGTGCCCAGGGGGCAGGGGGCACAAACAGGCAGCAGAGGGTGGCTGCTGCTGTCGGGTTCCTTGTGGAGAAACCGGCACTCCTCACCATAGAGGCAGGGGTGGAAGCATGGGATGGCAGCCACTACAGCGGCAGCAGCAGGAGGCGCGCCACTGCCAGCCTTGGCCCCATGGGGGAGGCCAGGCGGAGGGCGGGAGCAGCCACTGCCGCTGCTATCCGAGCCCCGCGGGCTGCGGATGGAGGGAAGGGGGAGGGAGGAGGGAAGCAGTGGGCCCTTCTTTCAAGGGGAGGTCGAGCGAGCCCAAGGAGGGAATCCTTGGCCAGGCTGCTCAACAGTCCTGGCGTAAAAAGTTTTTACTTTTTTTTTTGCAAGCGGCATGAGTGTACCGAAAGGAGTCTCCTGCAAGACTTGGATCACTGTAGAAAAAAAGAAGCCTCTTTGCAAGCTGAGAAAGGTGGGAGGCGGGGGGGGGGGAAGCAATGTTCCCTCTAAGCTGTGGAGTCTTGTGAGCAAAAATTCTACTTGGAGAGCGACTGGCATTAAAGTTGTGAGCGAGTGATTTGGCCGCTGCATAAGTTAGTTTGCTCTAGAGCCATCCTTCCTGAGCTAAGATAAAAATGTGTGAGCCGGAGGCTAAAAAACTGTGAGCTAGCTCACACTAACTCAGCTTAGAGGGAACACTGGGGGGAGGGAGGGAAAGAACACCGACCTCAATGTGGGCGGAGACTGAGACCTTCCGGGGCCAGAAAAGGGCTGGGGGGGGGATCCAAGAGAATATGTATGCTTTTTAATTAACTTTGGCTCAGAAAGAGAAGCAAGGGGAAGAAATTGGCGCAAAAGCACTTTTAGAAAAGCTGGGGAAACAGCAGCCGGAGAATGAACTGAGCACTGAAGGGGGGGAAATCAATGCAGAATGGAAAAGAAAACCCAATGGACATGCACGTTGAAAATGAGGGGAAATGCGGAATGACAAAGAAAACCTGACGGACATGCACAGTGAATGCAAGGGAAAATACCCATGCATAAAAGGCCGAGCAGAAGGTCCCAGGTTCAGTCCCTGGCCATCTCTAGTTAAAAGGACCAGGAAGTCGGTGATGTGAAAGGCCTCTGCCTTAGAACATGGAGAACCATTGCCAGTCTGAGGAGACCGTACTGACCTTGATGGGCCAGTGGTCTGATTCAGTATAAGGCAGGTTTATGTGTCTTCATGTGCTAAACAATTTTCAGCCGCTATGGTAAATGAGAAATGCCATTACATGTTCTTTCTGCTGCCTACCAGCTCTAAAGTGGTGATCTGAGACAGGTTCTCTATTTGCTGGACTGAAGCAAAGGTCTTCTTGGATGTAGCCTTTTCCATCTCAGAGCTGAGCTCTTGCTGCATCTTTTGGATTCCCTGATACCTGCAAGGAGAAACAGCCAGATGTGTAGCAAGACGAGTAATAAGAGAAGAGGATAATTTATGCTGCAGAAAGAGGAAGGCAGTACAGAGGTGGGACTTCCAGAACCAACCAGTGGGCCCCTCCCCTCTTTGGCAGTTGTGTGCCAATGGGTGCAATGGATTCTCAGGACTGGTGCCCAAGGCAAATGGTTTGCCCATCCCGAAACATGACCCAACTCCCAGGAACTGTCAGTTGCTGCCCCTCCAGACACTTGCAAGGATCTCCGACTTGGTACTGAAATTTCACCTCAGGATTCTTGTAAATCATCATGGCTTAGGATCCTGGATAAGAAGTTGGCGGCTACTGGTTTTACCACTGAATCCATCAAGGAATTGGGGCTCGCCAAATCCGCAATTACAATTAAAAAATGGATCAGACAGATTGATTACAATAGTTCTATTCCCCTTGATTCTCTTATCTCCTATGCATATCATTTGACCTCACCTAGTCTACTCAAGGCTTTTACACTAGCTAGAATAAATGCCCATTCAACAGTGGTTATGAGATGCCACTTTTTGCATCTTCCATACTTTGATAGAATTTGCTCTTGCTTTCTTGTAAAATAGATTCAGTCTCTCATATTTTATTGGAACACCCTCTATATTCTAATCTAAGGCGCTATTTTCTTCTACCGTGGCTGGTGAATTTCAATTATTTTAATCCAAGCATGGTAGTCCCCTTCCTACTCTCAGATAAAAATCCTAATATAACCTTGAATCTTGCAAAAAAATTTATTCATTTTGTCTTTTGGGAAATAAATAGAGATTATAAATGAAATTTCAGTTTGTTATACTGCTCAAGGCATTGAGTTATAGAGCTTTTATTGGACAAAGGACAGGAAAAAGCAGGACAGGAAAGGAAATTTCACCTCATGCAAAACTCAAAGCAAAATTTGGAGTTTCTCTTTCAGGCAAAACATCACCAAGAGAATGAAGAATTTCATCAGGAGCTAGAACAAAATTTCAAAAATGATCAGCAATTTTTCCCAGGGGGATTTCATACATCCTTAGGTTTTGCCTAAAGCACGTCTGCATATAAATGTGGAGGCCCCTTCTTGGGCAAAGACCTGAGGGCAGGGAGGCTTGGAAGTGCCCTCCCTGAGTTCAGTGCATGTGCTGGTTCCTCTTCAGAGTTGGTCTCTGAAGTGCTACAAATTCTGCAGCAAAAGCTGGCTAAGGACAGCATTACCTGATTAGCAGCTGTGACATTGCTAAGACACTCTCCTTCCCAATTTTTGAAGCAGATTTCACACTAAAACATTTCCCCCCTCCTTTTAACGAAAGAGATAGATGAATGTGCAAACAAATTCCTCTTTGCATGACACTTATTTTTAAAAAATCCAGCAGAAGCAATGAAGTGAGAGAAAGACAGCTAACTCAGCCCTCATCTTCCTAACATGTACACCTCTTGTTCTCAGTGCAAAACTGGGCTCATAAAACAGCTGATGAAGCCACTGTGTCGTCTTCTTCTCCTGAGATGTTCTGTCTGTCTTCATCCTGAGGGTTTTCCCCAAAAGACGTTTCTCTAAGGGGATTCACACCTTCCTCAAGCTCACCTCTCTTCCATCTGCCTCCTGAATTCCAGTGTGGCATTGTCCGCCAAGATGCTCTGCAGAAGAAGGTAGCTGGCATTGGACATAACCAGGGCCCTCCTTGCGATATCCTCAAACAAACCTGCTGCCTCCTCATGACTGTGGAGAGAAGACCCCAGTACAGTTACAGCCCCTGTTGCCAGACCCAAGTCCTCAAAACAGGGCCAGCTCCAGGATTCAGAGAGCCCTGGACAGACAGTGCCCAGGGCCCCCATCTGCCCACCACCACCAGGTGCCCCCTCATTTCTCCCTTCCCACCCCCCAGCTGCCCATGCATCCTCCTCCTGCTCACAAGCCCAGGCAGCACCTGTGCAGCCAACAGCAGGGGCCGGGCTGTGCAGCTGGGAGTGCTGCTGCAGTGGCTGCCAGGAGAGAGGCAGGACTGAGCGCCACCCACACGGCCCTCCTCCATGGCAGTGTGTGCCTGGGAATATGGGCCATGGAGCAATGACAGGGCATGCAGACAGGTGGCCGGGGAGGTGCATGGGCGAGGGGCAGTAGCCGTGGGACCCACTAGGAGCCCCGGGCCCGGGCAGCGCCCACACCTCAGGGTGTGCTGATGACACCAGAACTGCCTCAAAATGAAACAAGGAAGCCAAAGAATCTACGGGGTGACACAGCAGCAAAGCTGGCATGGTTTTGTGTCCAGAAAATAAATATCTGTGAATGCTGATGAGGAGAAAATCAGGAATGGTCCCATCTACATAATCCCACCCCTTCACCTGTAAATAGCTCCCCCCCCTCCGTTTTGTTTGTTTGTTTGGGACTGGCTAAACAGAGATTTGAGGGAGGCAGATGGAGAGAGGGGGATGGGCTGTCAACCCATTCAAGAACCTTTCCTGCCTCAGGTTTTTTTTTACTGATCAACTGACTACATTTAAATGCATCTGTATGTTACTAAAAACCTCAGCACAGGTGCCAGTTTGAGTTATCACAGGGAGTGTGAAAGAGCTTGCAGTTTAATAAACAAAAGCTATCTATCATTGGTTGTGAAGAAAAATACCATCATTCGTACTGAGGTGCTTTGTTTTTTTAAAATTTCCCTATCACATTCATCCAGCCCCACCAATTAACCCACTTTGGCTTTAGTTGATTAATCTGCCACTTAAACGGACACCATCAGCAACGTCAAAGAAATAAGAGACCACAAACCAGACACTCTTCCGCTGTGTCTGGACTCTCTAAAATTATATTTGAACAGATAGATATTGGTATTTAATAGCTATAAACTGGCTTAAGAGCCATACTTGGGGGCTGCAAAGTGGGGTAAAAATAAAACAGGCAAATATAGGAAAGCTCAGTGTGAATGTACAGAATGTACCTTCTGGCCAACAACTTCGACTCCAGGGCCTGGCGACTCCAGTTTGTGGGTTGGTGTGAAATCTCAGGAGGGAACTCCTAGAATGGAGAAAACAGAGCAAAACATCAAAACGTGTCTCTTGGGAAGCAGAGAGGACTCCTGGTGTTGTGTTCCCCTGGAGAAAAAGGCTGCTTTGGAGGGTGGACTCTATGGCATTATATCTTGCTGAGGTCCCTCCCCTCCCCAAACCCCGCCCTTCCCCGAGACTCCACCCCCCCCAGTCTCCAAGAATTCCCCACCCCAGAGCTGGCGACCCCAGGCAGCTCAGTTTCCCTGAGCCCAACTCTGAAGTGAGTCTGGGGTGGGGAGGGGTCATCCTTCTCTTCTGAAGATGAGGCTCATCCTCTTACACAACTCCAGCAGAGGAGCTTTGCCCGGACATTTTTATTCACATTATTTACAGTCCACCTTCCTCACTCGGACTCAAGACAGATTACAGTCAACAGGATGGGACATTCAATAGGCAATGAAACAGGATTCAGATCGTAGAGGTCTGGAACCAGCTATCAATCTGAAAAACAGAACTGAAGCAAAGCATCAGCTTTAACATGACCCATTAAATGAAGCAAAAATTACCTAGTAGGATTCTACTTACAGCAAGCTATACAGAGTATAGGGACCACAGTCCCTAATCATTTATCCAAGTAACTTTGTGAACCATTTTGTACAGTAGAACAAAGTCTGAATCCAGTGACACCTTTAATACCAACGAAGTTTTAGTCCGGGTATACCCGGAATAAAACTTTGTTGGTCTTACAGGTGCCCCTGGACTCAGATGTCGTTCTCTTGCTTCAGATCAACACGGCGACCCACCTGGATCCATTTCGTACAGTGCAACCCTATTAAAGGTAAAGGTTTCCCTTGCTCGAAAGCCAGTCGAATCCGACTCTAGGGTTGCGGTGCTCATCTCCGTTTCAAAGCCGAAGAGCCAGCGCTGTCCGAAGACGTTTCCGTGGGCATGTGGCCGGCATGACTAAACACCAAGGCGCACGGAACGCTGTTCCCTTCCCACCGAAGTGGTACCTCTTTATCTACTTGCAATTTCTTGCTTTCGAACTGCTAGGTTGGCAGGAGCTGGAACGGGAGCTCACTCCTTCATGCGGCACCCGGGTCTTGAACTGCTGAACTACTGACCTTCCACAGCCTGCAGTTCAGCGTCTTAACCATTTGAGCCACCGCAGCTCCTGCAACCCTTTTCTACCTGTGTAGAAAAGCCCTCCTGAATACTTCAGCTGTGCACGGGGAAAGGGTCCCAGGATTTACGTCTTCCAGATGCAAGGAGGGAAGCAAATGGGGGGCGGGTCCTGCTTCACAAGGCGCCTGGCAGCCCCCACCCCCACCCTTGAACACCAGAGAGAATGCCCCTGGGTACCATGGCAGCCAGCATTTCTGTGGCCAGCTGGATCTCCTGCTGCGTGGACTGCAGGGCAGAAAGGATGTCAGAGGAGAGGATGCAGGCCTTGGTGCCCCCACTGCCATGGCAGCCCATCATGCCCCTGGCATTCCTCAGGTGGCTCCATGCATGAGACACGGAGCTCTCCAGCTCTGCAGCCTCTTCGAGGAACATGGCCTTGGCACCTGCAAGCAAGACGCCAACCTTTACACTCGTGTCACTGGAGCAGGGCCAAAGTACAGTCAAGCATATGGTATGATTCATGCTGTGGGTACCCTGAAGGGTTTGGTACACTTCCTTTTGAAATGGAGAGGGACGATAGCAAAAGGAAAAGAAGAAGAAGAAGAAGAGATTGGATTTATACCCCGCCCTTCCTAACCTAAGGGAGTCTCAGAGCAGCTTACAAACTCCTTTTCCTTCCCCTCCCCACAACAGACACCCTGTGAGGTGGGTGGGGCTGAGAGAACTCTGACACAAACGGCTCTTTTTCAAGAACAGCCCTGACAGAACTACGGCTTGCCCAAGGTCATCCAGCAGGTGCAAGTGGAGGAGTGGGGAATCAAACCTGGTTCTCCCAGATTAGAGTCCGCGCACTTAACCACTACCCCAAGGGTCCCCGGGATAGGCTCTGTCTTTAAAGGCCAGAGACAACCAGCTCACTCTAGGTATGATTTACGTGCTCAGCAGAGTGAGGGGGTCCCTATCGGATGTGCGAGAGCCGATTGTACCATTCAGACTGTAGGTGGGGGGAACCACATCTGGAGTCCTCTTGGACAGAACAACACCAACAACCCCCTCCTCCGTGTATATTCAACTAGTGTTTCAGAATAGTCAGTACTGAATGGTGTGATTTGTCTGGTTCAATTAGAAAGTTGGAGTTTCTTTTAGGGTTCCTTGGCACTCAGGACAAAACTCTCTCCAGTCAAACGGGTTTTGCAGTGTTTGGTGTTGTTTCAAAACCTGTTTGATCAGGGAGATGGAAGAAATGTGTGTGTGCCCCAAGGGAAATGGCTCCTTCTCTCAAAGAGGCAGATCCTGAGAGGGAGGGCAGAAAGAGATGAGCCAGTGCTCGGCTGTCATGGCCTTTTCTTACATGCCCAGGGAAATGCCAGTTGCCACTTTGAAGAAGAGTTAGACTTTATACCCCGCTTTTCTCTGCCTTTTAAGAAGTCTCAAAGCGGCTTCCGATCACCCTCCCTTCCGCTCCCCACAACAGGCACCTGGTGAAGTTAGGTGGGCTGAGAGCCGGCCCATAGCCAGGATTTTGTGGCTTGTGGGGCAATTTCCCCCCTGGGTGGGGCTGAAGTCCTCAGTGCAGGAAGAAAAACCATTTAGCCCATAGAAAGCTGTTATCAGGTCAGATCTCTAAACTTCAAGCTGTCAACCACTTTCGATGGCAGTTCTCAGCTGCTGCAAGTTAGTCACTTCTGCCAGCCTAAGCAGCAATTCTGATAACAAGCCAGCAGGTGGGGGTGATGACTTCTAGAGTCAAGAAAGCTAATACTTAGGCAGCAAAACTCTCTTAAAGGAGGCCAGTTTCTTGACACAGACTTCGAAGGGATCCTAGAGGTCACCTACTCCAACCCCCTTGCTCAGTGCAGGAATTAGTCAACTACAGCACCCCACTCCGCTTAAAGGAGCGAATACCTTTTAAAAAATGTTTTAAATGATTGAAAAAAGCATTTACAGGAGAAATTCTTGTGGGGCTATGCCTTTAAGAAAGAGGGTGGAGCCCCCTAAAGCTCCACCATAGCTATGGGCCTGGCTGAGAGAGTTCGAAGAGAACTGCAACTGGCCCAAGGTCACCCAGTAGGATCATGTGGAGGAGGAGTGAGGAATCAAACCCGGTTATCTGAAGAAGCAAGCAGTGATTCATGACAGCTCCTCCCCTGCCACACATCTTGTCAGTCTTTAAGGTGCTACTGGACTCTTGCTCTTTTCTACCAGTTCTCTAGATTAGAGTCTGCTGCTCTTAATCACTACAGCACGCTGGCTTTGGGGTCAGGAAGGAATTTTTCTCCAAGCCAGATTGGCCCAGGGATCCTGGAGGTTTTTTTTGCCTTCCTCTGGGCATAGAGCAAGGGCCACAGGGGGGAGGTAGTTGTGAATTTCCTACATTGTGCAGGGGGTTGGACTAGATGCCCCCTGAGGTTCCTTCCAGCTCTATGTTTCTATGTTCTATGTTTCAGCCATATTCATGCACCTTAAAAAAAGATTGTCCATCTTCATTTTGTGAATGCAGCATGCTATAGTATGCAGAGGACCACACCCAGTGGACATTGGGGGACCCTGTGGTAGTATCCAAAGTCCCCCAGACCCCTTCTTGGTTCAGATAGGAAGAGAGGCCCCTCTGACTCCCGTCATGCTCTGTACCTTTCCTCAAGTAGCGGCTGTGGATGCTGCCTTCCCACGGCGCCTCTCCCAGCATCGCGTAATGGGCCTTGTGCCGGCTACAGTCTGGTTTCTGTAGCCACAACTCCATGGTGGTCAGCTGGTCCTTCAGCTTGCCTGCCTGCAGGAGAAAGAGGCTTAGATGAGGCAGCTTTGGAGGAAGACAGAAGGTATAGAAAAGGATACCGGGCATCCCTGAACCCAGCTTTGCAACAGAAATGGCACAACCGCAATTAAGGGGCTGGCTCCCCTGTCATTATTACCCCGTCTTCCTCTATTGCTTCTGACAGGGTGTCCCACTTCGAGTTCATTGATGAAGTTGCCACATCGATGTTCCTGCATCTCCCTGTCCATTAATCTTTTAACATGGGAGAGAGGGACTCTGGGAATGGGTGGGGAAACGTTCCTGGTGCCTGTCATTAGGGGACAACCATTCCCCCCCAAGCACAGCCAGATCCTTCTTCTAACCGTAACGTTACTAACTTGGTACATCGAGGTCAGTACTGTCTCCTCAGACTGGCAGCGGCTCTCCAGGGTCTCAGGCAGAGAACGATCTTTCACATCACCTGCTGCCTGGTCCTTTCAGCTGCAGATGTTGGGGATTGAACCCCGGGACCTTCTGCATCACAAGCAGATGCTCTGCCACTAAGCCACGGCCCCTGTTTGGCAACCCTGCTCATGAGTGAGCGTAGCCACTGAACACAGTACTCTCATTTGCCAAATGGTGATCACCATGAAGTTTACAGCATCACGAACTGTGACTTATTTGCCATGAGCTTTAAAAGGCCAGAAAAGTGTGAACATTCTAGAACGTCAGATGCTCCCTTCAGCATGCAGGAGAGGATGAAGGGAACTTAGCTGGCTCAAAGACTGATTGACTAACTGGCTGGCGGACTGATTGGCTGGTGAAAGCAAGCAATGGAAGGCAGGGCAATATCCCACCTTCTCCTTCACGAGACTGTAGCAGATCGGGCACTCTTTGCACCGAGAGCTCTCCGGGTCAAGGAAGTAGTTCTCTTCACACTGGTCACACTTATAGCCCACGAAGCCCCTCTTGCACATGCACGTGCTGTTCTCATGGCACTGGTGGGAGACAGAACCTAAATGGGAGCAGTTGCAGGCTGGAATAAGGGAAGAATGGGCACATCAAAAGGTGACCGGTGATTTCTCAGTGACTTATTCCTGTAGAATGTTGAATAGTATCCTATTCTAGGGGATAAGAATGTAAGAAGAGTTCTGCAGGTTTAGACCAAGAGTCCATGAAGTATAGTTTTCTGTTTCTAAGAGGGGCTGGCCAGATACTTCCGGGAAGTCAACAGCCCCTCACACAAGTTAATTCCACATTATCTGAAGAACTGTCTCCTGTATCTGTAATTAACGTATGAAGTTCACTGCCACAAGAGCCAACTGCTAATTAACTTTACTGAGGGAACGTGGCTAGTTTTAGTATGAAGAGAAAGTTTCCTGTTTTATAAACCTCCATCATGTCCCCTCTTAAGGGCCACTTCATATGTTACAAAGTCCTTGTGTCTCCCACCTGTCCGGGCAACAGACAAACTCTGGAGTCCTGCGGCTGGAACGTAACTCCCAGGCACGCATAGGCCTGATGTGGATGAAGCCTTCAGTGTGTGGGGAAAGGAAGTTTCAACCTTCCATACATGGTTTTCCAAGCCTGAAATGGACCCAAGGAGCCACAGTTTGCCCCACTGGGGAGGTTGACATGTTGCCCTTCAGGACCCATAAGTTTTCCCAAATGGGAAAAAAAATGGCACGGGGGTGGGAGGAGAAAGACTAGGCCTATTCTTCCCGTTATGCCACAGTTCTGGTCCAATTTGGGCCCCTGTGTGGCTGAAAATTATCTTCTGATCATAGATCTCCCAAAGGTCTTCTGTCCACATAACTTGAGTGGGGAGACAGGGGTGGGGGGGGGCATGAGAACTTTCTGACATGCAAAGGTTAGCAGTCTTCTTTCAAAATTAAAAAGTCCCAAATACTTTAGGCTGCTCTACAGAGCTCCTTGAGCACTAAGGCTGCATTTACCAGTTCTACGGCTTTCTTGTTGAGGCAGGACGATGGTTTCCAGATTCAGCAGCCACCTGCATTCACACAGAGGCATTACCATATGGCCAATCTTACTTCCAGTCCCTTTCCTAAGAACCCCGGACACAGAATTTGTTTTATTCACATCTGCTGTATGCTGAGTAGTAATTTTCCACCTATCTACCTGCCACAACCCCAAGATCTTTCCCCTAGTTAGCCTTGGCCTCTTCAGACCCCATCAGTGAACTGAAGAAGATGGGACTTTTTTTGTTTGTTTGTTCCTATGATGCCACTTTTGGCTCCCTCCCTCCATTTGGACAGAACCTTTCCCTCCCAGCGTCTGTGTAGGTTTCCCTCATTGCAGCTGATTCTGACACCCCCACACACTTCACTTCTCTGGCTCACCAGACCAGTTATGGAGGCTAAATAATACAGACCCTGGGGGAGCACTGCCGCTCGCTTCTCCCTGCGATGAAGATGGCCCACTGATTCCTGTCTTCGGGCTCCTATTCAGTGGGGTCCATCAGAGGGCCTTCGCCCACGGCTCCTCCATTTGCCACAGGGATTTGCAGATGGAACAGCCTGACTGGAGCCCAGGAGCACCTTAGAGACTTTTCCAGAATTGGAACTTTCAAGAGTTTGAGCTCCGCTCTTCACAGCTGTGACTCTTGAAAGCTCATAGTCCGAAACGCTTGTTTGAGGCGCTCCTGGACTCAGATTGGGCTGTTCTACTGCAGACTGACGGGGCTGCCCTCTGCAACTATCTCCTTGGGAGAAAGGCTTTGTCAAAACCTTTTTGGAAGTCCAACTATAGAATGTTTCCTGGATCCCTCTTAGCCACATATTTGCTGACGTTCTTGAAGAATTTTAAAAGTTTGGAGAGGCAGGACTTCCCACTACAGAAGTCACGCTGTTGCATCTTCTTCTATGTTCCATCATCCCTGCAGGAAGAATGCTTCTACCAATTTACCAGGGACAGGTCAGCCCAGTATTTTCCTGCATCCTCTGCCCCCACCAGGAAACGGACAGCAGAATCAGCCCTGCAGGGTATGGCAGTTTGCTGGGGTGTGTGTGGCAGCTTTGGGGGTGTCACAGGAATGCATAAAATCATTCACCATTTATGTCTACCTCCATGGAGAGCGCCATTTGAATTTTCCTCCTCAAGTGCCTTGGGATTTTGGTCTGTGGGCCACGGGGGTTCTCTGGGTGTGCAGGGGAGTCTCTAGCCCCCCCCCCCCATGCTTCTGGATGGATGGAGCATGGCTCAAACTCTGACCAAGACTAAACTTTGTGCCAGGGTTCCCTGGTTGAACTGGAACCTAATCCTGAGTCTTCCTATGTCCCATTTTAGTTAGAGGTTTAGATTCAGTAGCATTGTAGAGAACACCATCCAAAGATGTGAAGGCAATTGTCCCGGCACTGACATTACCTCGGCATCCCTGGAAGGAGAAACCGAAGAATCCCGTCTGGCACCGGTCACATGACAGCCCTTCCACACCTGGCCGGCAGACACATTGCCCTGTGAGTGGGTGGCAGTGGCTGTGCTGGGACCCCACCGGGTGGCATTTGCAACTGGAAGAGAGACAGAAAGGGAGGATGTGTTTGACATAATTAGATTATCCGGGGGGGGGGGCAACTGAGCTCCAGAAGCCGGCCAGAGGTTAAAGGGCTGCTGGGATGTTAGCTTCCCCTTCTCTTCCAGCAAAGGGAAGATCAGCCTTGGTTCATGAAAGGGGATCTTGCTTGCTGGATCTGACCAAGGATCTATCTACTTCAGCATCTTCCTTGTAACAGTGGCCAGCCAGATGTTTCCAGGAACCTCAGAGGCAGGACCTGACGGCAACAACCCATCCTTGTTTTTGCATCCTCCAGGAGTTGGCATGCATTCCTGATTCTAGGCTTGGAGGTTCCATTATCTATCATGGATAATACCTGAACTCTCCCTAGAAACTAAAATGACTAAATTGAGACTATCGTATTTTGGTCACATTATGAGAAGATAAGAGTCACTGGAAGAACACAATAATGCAAAGAAAAGTTGAAGGCAGCAGGAAAAGAGAAGACCCAACAAGAGATGGGTGGACCCAGTAAAGGAAGCCATGATCCTCAGTTAGCAAGACCTGAGCAAGGCTGTTAATGATATGATGTGTTGGAGTCCATTAATTCACAAGGTTGCCTTAAATTGGAAGCAACTTGGTGGCACTTAATTTACACACACACACATACACACACACTACCCACTCTGGACTAATCTTCCAGGAATGTATCCCCGTGTTAATTAATATGCAAAGAAGAACATAAGAACATAAGAGAAGCCAATGTTGGATCAGGCCAGTGGCCCATCCAGTCCAACATTCTGTATCACACAGTGGCCAAAAATACCAGGGGCCACCAGGAGGTCCAGCAGTGGGGCCAGGACACCAGAAGCCCTCCCACTGTACTGAAACTTCTCAAAGAACAAAGTTGGAGTCCAGCGGCACCTTTAAGACCAACAAAGTTTTATTCAAGGTATAAGCTTTTGTGTGCACGCACACTTCTTCTGTATCTGAAGAAGTGTATATGCACAAGAAATTTTATAGCCTGAATAAAACTCTGTTGGTCTTAAAGGTGCCGTTGAACTCAAACTTTGTTCTGCTGCTTCAGACCAACAAGGCTGCCCACCTGAACGAAACTTCTCAAAGTACATTCATGATTTGTGTTGTTAAATTTGTTGTGTAATCAAGGGGTGGCCTCAACCCTCTCGAGTCAGCAGAAGGGTCCTTGCACCAAAAAATGTGTCACTGTTAGTGGAATAGATCTGCGGGATCCGATCCAGGAAGTTTATCATGAGGACCAATCAGTCACAATAGAAAAGTAAAGAGAATATCCCACTTTGTTCTCCCAAGACCAATCAGCAGTAGACTCAAGTTCAAAGTTATATACACACAATTTGCCTCCTTGATCCTTTCAAAACATTCCTGACAAGGACAGTAAAGCATCATCTTTATTAGGAGCAACCCAAAATTTCAACGCAGTACGAGCTTTCAACTCTACCAGGGTTCTTTGTTAGGGTGGGTGAAAACCCAACCAGAAAACACTCAGTCTAGGGGTTGGAGGGATGGGAGGGAAGAAAAAATGAAAGCCATTAATGGCTAAGATGGGAGGACCAGTCTTGGATTTGCAGCTATCTAAAGATGCAAAAGAGGAGAAATTCCACAGGCCAAATTAGATGAGGCTGCATCTGCCCTGCAGAATTTATTAAATCTGTAAAGAACGCTTCCTGCATTCCATTCAAGGACAGATTGTGGCTTCCATCATGTTCAGAAACATGTTGTTTCTCCCCCCCCCCCCTCTGTTTTTCCAAATGCCTAAAAACCAGCCTGGAAAAGAGTTTCTAGTGAGCTCTTCACGCTAAGTTGTGCTTTTGATTGGCTCAGAGGTTTTATTTTACTTCCCTCGCACGGAATAGTTTAGACTTGCGTTTCTTCTGACGTTTGTTTTTGTTGGATAACACTTGCTGGGCAAATTTCAAGTAGGACACTGGTCCGTGCGTGAGCACAAGATCTGACTGTTCTGGCCAAATCCCAAAGGCTTAGAAATTGACCACAGACAGGAAACACTCTTCTGCCTCCGTGGGGTTATGCCACAAAAAGAGCTTTTGCTCTTCTAAAGGATGCCCACCGTGGCGTCCCAAGTTCAAAAGTATAGCACTTGTGATGAAGTCATACCAAGAGGAGAAGATTAATTCCCCATCAGTCAGTCAGTAAAGGCTAAGCGGACAGTGTGGGGATGTGGGGGAGAGAGGGTCCGACTGGGACACTGGAGGGCGACTCAGTTTCAAACACAAGTTAAGGGGTGCTGTGTAACTCTTACCCCTTTCCTGTACTTACAGCCTTTGCTTTGGGACATGTAAAATGATCATTAAGACAGGATGGACCTCTGAGCATGTCCAAAGTGCTTTTCTTCATTATTTATTTATTTAGAAAAATGTTATGCTGAGGCAGCTTACAAAACAAAAAAAATAACAACATAAAACATATAGGAATTATCAATTAAAATCCAGCATCAAAAGCCTATCCAGAGCTTAAAACACTGAGCAGTTTACAATGAATTTAACAATGTTCAGGCTAAGGGCACTATGCAAATGGTGTTTTTAAAGAGTCAGCCTCTAATTAATAGCCTGAGTAAACTGAAACATTTTGGCCTAGTGCCTAAAAGTGAGCAAGCTCCAAGGGGAAGAGCCTTTCACAAAGTGAACTGCCGCTACTGAAAAAGCCCTGTCTCTGGCCTGGTTGCCACCAGACTTATTCCTGAAGGCGGGGACACAGAGAGCCAGGCTGGAGAGGCAGATCTGAAGCACCAGGCCGGACAAGGTGGGAGGAGGAGGAGGCAATCCTTCAGCTGCCAGACCCACACCCTCAGCTCCTTATCTCCCAGAGGCCTTTTCTGCAGAGATCCCTCTTCCCCTGCCACACTCCGGTTACCTCTTGCAGCCAATTCCCGTCTGCAGAGCATAATAACCCTCCTGGCACCGGCTGCAATCCCTCCCGGTCACATGTGGGAGGCAGGGGCACTGCCCTGTGACGTTGTGGCAGGCCTCCAGTCCATGGATTGAGCCTCCGAGGTTACAGGCGCAGTCTAGGAGGCAAGACAGAAACAGCAGGGTCTGACGATGCAGCAAGCGGCTGGTTTGAAAAGAGTTGCCTGGGCCCGGGATTCTGATGCTGCAGCTGATGCTGGCTGCCTTGCCCGGAGGGAAGAAGAGCTTTTTTTTGGGGGGGGGGGGGTACCACCTGCCCAACCCAGACTGAGGCCTCACGGCTTTTTTTAAAGGACTACAGCTGCTTCTAAAATAATGTCAGCAGTCCCAGGATGGACCCGTGGCCACCGTCACATTTCGCTTGGCTCTAAGTTTCTTGCCTCTTTCTTGGAGGAGATTTGCCTTTTCCCTTCTACCTCTGCAATGGGAAGGACTAGAGACTTACTTTTTAAAAAATGAAACCTGAGAATTCAGAGAACCTGTTACACATACCGTTATACCATCATATCAGTATAATGATATTCAGTTGCCTGTTAAGATGAAAAAGAAAGAGGTCTCCTGGTGGTGGTGGGTGGGAGGAATCTCTGCCCACGGGGACAGTGTCAGGGAAAATGGCTGCCATGTGGGCACAGGAGAGTCTCAGCTTCCCACCCCCACAGGCACCAATCCAGGCCTACTGTGATCGTTTCCAGAACTTTGCAGCAAAACAGGTTTCAGAAAGATCAGAGAACAGCCGGGGGAAGCCTGAGAGGCACATGAATGCACCATGAGGCTGTGGGGAAGCAGAACACCCCCACCCCCCCAACAGCGTTGAGCCTGGGGCAGACAACCTGTGCAGAAATTGCTTTTGCATTGCTTTGTGTTTTAGAACACGATACTGGAACATATTAGGTTTGCATTCCAATTTCAAGACGAGGTGAACAGTGTGGTTCTTGTTGTTGTTAAAGCTGAGTGTCCTCAAGCATGTGCAGAGTGCTTTTCCTCTCTCTCCCACAGACAGCTCGCCCCTGTCTTGGCTCATGAGGCGGCTTCTAGATCAGTAGGGGCATGTTCAGTAGGGTCAGCACCAGCCTACCCTAGGTTGGGGCAGCTACCGGTCCCACTGCCGCCAACCCCCGTGCAGCCACACACCTTCCCCCACCTGCTCACAAGTGCTCCACTACCCATGCTGATGGCAAAGCGCACTGGAGAACAGCATGCAGGTGCCGCATGGCAGCTGTGCTCTTGGCTGCTGTGGTAACGGGGTATCAACTATGTGCACTGTGTCTAGTGTCACCAGGCAAAGGGCACGCAAGTGGTCAGGGGAGCTGTGAGTGGAAGTGGTGGGAAGACTTGCAGGCAGGGAAAGGACACACAGGCAAGTTGGGGGCTAGGGGGGGTAGAAAGGGAGGTGCAGCCAGTGGGGTCTGGTGGTAAGAAGACAAGGTGTTATGTATTGAGCTGGAGCTGTACTTGCTTGGGGATGCATAACAATAGCTTGCTAGGATCCTAGAATGGACCAGTAGGGTGACAGGGATCCTAGAGTAACCCAATTGGGAAACAATGTAGTGTAAATAGCCTATAGTTGGGAGTGTGGTGTGTTTTGGGTGTAACCTTTTTCAGGCATAAATACCTGGCTTCGGCCAGGGGTTTCTCAGTCTTCTTTCTCTTGCTGAATCACTAATAAACTATGAGCTGATCACTTGAACGCATCTGAACCCAGTATATTTCACAAGGGGTCCGTGGAAGTTCTCTGCCCTCTCAAAGCCTGAAGCCAGCCTTGACATCCATTTTAGAAATATGAAAAGCAGAAAATTAAACCCTGGCCGAAACACTGGTCAAATGTTTCAAGGGTGGCTCTTGGGCAGGGCTGAAAGTCCGTACTCACGAGCACACTTCCTGGCAGGGCTGGTGGTGAGCGGATTCCCATAGAAGCCCTCTGGGCAGCTCTCACAGTGGTCCCCTGCAGTGTTGTACAAGCAGCGCAGACACCGGCCTAAGACAGGGTCGCAGTTGCCGACGGCATTGAGGTCCACGTTGTCATTGCATGCACAGGGACTGCAAGGGCGGATCAGGCCGTTCCTTCCCAGGGGGTCTCCGAAAAAGCCATCGTCACATAGCTCGCAGAGTCTCCCTGGAAAACGAACCAGAACAGGTTGGGTTTTGACCAAGGCACCACTAGACTACAAGCGACATTGGAGTTCTGTGACTGGAACTCCAAATGTGTTATTATTTGGGCCTAAAACACATCTTTAGGTGGACAGGATTCATGTGGATTGGGGCAAGGGGAGCAGAGCTGAATTCTTTCCACACATGCCTTTCCCTTTCTCAGAAATGGCCCCCTCCCAGTTATTTTAAGCCTAGGTGGGGGAAAAGACAGTCAAAACAGAGGCGGAGAAGAGGAGGACAAGGAGGAAGAAGTTGATACCGAGGAGGATTCATTTGAACAGGAGGAGGCCAAAGTAAAAGAATCCTCAAAAAGAAAAGAAAAGAGTAAGCCAACTAAGACACCTTATCACATGCTAACCAGGTTTAAATACAGGAGTAGGGGGGAAAGTAACAAAAAATAAGTATGGAGCAAAAAACCCTTAAACTCCTATCGTTGAATGTTAATGGGCTGAACAGCCTGCAAAAAAGGAAAAAAATTTCCATCAACTAAACAAACTTCAGTTGGATATTACATGTTTGCAAGAGACGCATAAAAAAAAGAAAGATGTTAAATCCCTGCAATGTAAAAAATTAGGCACAGCATTTATAGCCTCAGATGAGCAGAAAAAAAAGAGGAGTAGTGATATATATGAAAGACTACTTAAACCTGAAATTAATTTATACAGCAGAGGATGGTAGAATAGTAGCTATACTAATAATAAAAAATGGAAAAGAAATATTAGTAGTGAATATATATGCCCCCAACCAAAGTCAAGAAAGCTTCTTTAAAGCTCTACTGTGGCTGTGGTCACACAGAACAGTAGCCACGCTAGAGAGACGGAAGATAGGCGGATTTTCCAGGCGTGATCTCACCGCCGCATCTGGGAAGCGTAGAGCTCAACTGAGGCTTCACTCCAAAGATGCATGGCAAAAAACTAGTACCTCGGAGGTACTAGTTTCCGGAAACCGCCCATGTCCCCTCGCAAACAGGTCATTCCCCCCCACCCCAAGGCTCCACGGATGCGCACAAGCACCCAACGGAGCATGCACACACTTCAGTTTAAAAAAGTAAAACAAAAAAACAACAACCCCGTTTGCCTCCCCGCCCCGCTTCTTTGCCTGTGGTGTGATCGCCACCTCCCCCATGGCCATGGGACCTCAACCGGACGTCTGATCTCGCAGTCACACGTTAGTTTGCCCCTGGGCAAACAGCCACACTCCCCCCCCCGCATTTTCCTGGCCATGTGGCCGGGGCCATAGAATGTTAAATGAGTTGGAAGTGGATAATATTTGTATGATAGGGGATTATAATGCAGTACTAAACCCGACAATGGATAGAAAAAGCCACAGGAAAAAAAATAAAAAAGGCAAAGTATTACCTAAAAGTTTCATGCAACTAGTGGAAGAATATAGTATGATTGACTTTTGGCCCCCCCCCCCGGTTTATCTCGCATGTCTTCCTCCTCAGGAGTCCTGAGGAAAAGAGGAGTTGGAATCGGAACAGCCAGAGACTGGCACATAGAGCGTAGCACATTTGCCACAGACACAAGTGCCCAAAAGCACTCTATTATCCTCCTAATGAATATCTATACAAGGCTGAAAGTGGTCTGGAAAAGGCTGTATACTGCTTTTGTGCCATTACTGCTGCAGTTCAAAGAGGCAGTGGAGGTTTTTTTAAACCAACCCAAAGCCTGACAAGCCTGTTTACCAAAACGAGAAAACAAGATGAGCGAAGACACCAAGAGCTGAAACCCCTGATTCTAAGTGCCTTCAGAGCTCTGAAAAATGCTGCTCTGCTTTCCACCGAATCAACCAGCATGCCCTTTGGCCACAAGGAATTCAACAACGAGAACCACTCTTTTTTGTGTTTTAATGTCTGCAATCCTTAAATGGTTTTAGAACGTCTATTCCACCCACAAAGGGAGCATGGTATATTTTCCCTTCCACCCCCAAAAGCTTTCCCATTCCATACTGCCTCTAAATCCTGCAAACAAAACATTTTCAAAATTCAGCATGTGTGCCTAAATTTGACCATCCGGTTCCTGGAATTTCAGGTCGCCATGGAAAGAGAGGCAGACAGGAGAATGGTGGAAGGGGAAAGGCATGGGCAGGTTCCCGAGCTTTGCTTCCCAATGCAGAGGACTAGGAACTTAAAGAAGCCCTTTGATTTTGAAAGGATTCTGGTTCCTGTGCAGCATGGCAGAGTTCCTGTGTGGCAACATCACATGTGCAAGCAACACCTAACAGAAATGCCCTTGAGCATGCTTTAAAACACTGGTGATGGATATGCCGTTTCTGCCATTTTTCTGCGGGTATAATAGACTCTCTCCAGGCCATCGAACCCACCTCTCTGTCCTGGCGGGCAGTGCGTGCAGACCACCTCTCCACTGCCTGGGAGGGCCGTGCAAGGAGTCTGGCCCGGGCAAGGGCAAGGCTTGCAGTCATCAGGATGATCAAGGAAGGGGTTGCCATGGAAACCGGGAATGCAGCGCTCACAGGAAGCCCCTTCCGTGTTGTGCAGGCAGCGGCACAGTCCTGTGGGAGGGAGGAACCAGAAGGAAAGGCAGTTCGAGGCTCTCCTGGCCCCAGCTAATGTTTCCAGAAAGGATGTAACAGACGACGGACATTTTAGGACTGACCAACAGTCCTAGTATGGTGGCTGTTTCCAGCAGTCTGTTTCCCTCTTCCTTTTCCTCCACCCTGCTTCATAGTTTTGTCCGCTCAGCCAGATCGTCCCTGTTAGTGGGTTGTAGAAAACAAAACAATCGTTCCTCTCCTGTCCAACATCACAGAAATGAAATGTCTGCTGCAAAACAAGCAAGCTTGTTCAATGCCCTCAGAAAGGCTCAGCTGCCGATAAACTCTGGGCTTCTGCACATTCTCATCTTCCTTGCTTGTAAATTCCTGGGGTTTTTTTTTTGGGGGGGGGGATCTGTTCTGTACATGTTTTGCTCCCTCTAGTGGTCAATTAGACAGGTTTATTTCCAGCCTATCTCCCTGCAGTTTAAATCTGCAGGGAGATAGGCTAGATATGAACAGGTGTAGTATTAAATCAACCACTAGAGGGAGCAAAACACATGTGGAACAGGACCCCCCCTGTTCTGCACCATTTTGCTCCCTCTGTTGGTCAATTTGATATTACATCAGTTTATGCCCTGCATAAAAACCTGCAGTTTAAATCTGCAGTGAGATATGCTGAACATAAACCGATGTAATATCGAATCAGCCACTAGAGGGAGCAAAGCCTGTGGAACAGACCCCCCCCCCCGAAGAAACAGGAACTTACATGTGAGGAAACTGAGAATGCACACACACACAAAGCACTCTATCGATGCAAAGTTTCTGTGCCGTTTGAGTTCCTGCAAACCATCAGTTGCTTCACACTGTAAAACAAATGAAAAGAGTTTAAAAAAAGAAACAGCGCCCTTTTCAAAACGGATGCAGCCTATGAACGTCTCAGATGTCGAGTCCCACAAAACCATGAGATGGAGCCTGCTTTGGTTTGTAGCTTCACAACTCAGGCCTGGCTCCAGACAGAGGAAAGCTGTTTTCAATCCAAAATCCAAACTGTATTGGAAATAATCAACAACACATTTTCTGCAGGCGGACAGCAGTGGTGTGTCGCCCAGACACAGATTTAGGAAAGAGTTCAAGGGATATTTATATTTTTAAATGTAAAAACCCACCAAGAATAAAACTGGAAGGGCACCAACAACCCCCCCCCCAGACATAAAAGTCCATTGTAACCCATTTGTTCCTGAGAGTTCAGTCTACCTTAAGACAGGCTTGGGAGGTAGACTGGTTTTGCTGCACTAGGGTAAACGACTCTGGGTTGGTGAAGGGCGGGAGATGGGGGGGGGGCAGAGTCAAGGGAGGGAGGGTGGGGCTTGAGGGGGAGAGGGACCTCGATGGGGTGTAATTCCAGAGACCCCACCCTCCAAAGCATCCATTTTCTTCACAGGAACTGATCTCTGCAGTCTGGAGAAATCAGTTGTAATTCCAGATTTCTTGGTCCCACCTGGAGGAAGGCAACCCTATGCCAGACCTATGTTGCAAATAGGAACAGGGCTGGCCTATGTTGCAAATAGGAACAGGGCTGTCCATTCTCGCCACCTGAGAGACTGCCTGGGGTTGCATGAGGAGGGCGCCCAGGGGCTCAGCTCAGGCACAGCTGTCAATGGCGTGGGAGGGGCATTCCCTCCTGGGCACACACCACAGCTGCCACTGCCATCGCCATCATCACCTGGGTGAAAGCCCTACTTGCCAACCTCTATGTGGTGTTTGGTTTTCTGAAAGTTTAGAGCCTCTATTATTCAAGCCAGCTGGAATTGGTATAGACGGCTGTATACAGTCAAGAGAAATAGGTAGAGCTTGGTGCTCCATCACTGGAGGTGGCCTGACGAAGTCCTGGAAGGAAATGGATGGGAACCTGGGCGGTCCGTCGCCACACCTCTTAGCAGCTGTGTTTTGTGGACATCTATCAACTGTTACTCCTCTTAGTTTTGTGGACACTTATTAAGGTAAAGGTAAAGGTTCCCTTGCTCGAAAGCCAGTTGAATCCGACTCTAGGGTTGCGGTGCTCAAAGCAGTTTCAAAGCCGAAGAGCCAGCGCTGTCCGAAGACGTCTCCGTGGTCATGTGGCCGGCATGACTAAACACCAAGGCGCACGGAACGCTGTTCCCTTCCCACCGAAGTGGTACCTATTTATCTACTTGCAATTTCTTGCTTTCAAACTGCTAGGTTGGCAGGAGCTGGAACTAGAGACAGGAGCTCACCCTGTCTTGCAGCACCCGGGTCTTGAACCGCTGAACTACTGACCTTCCACAGCCTGCAGTTCAGCGTCTTAACCACTTGAGCCACTGCAGCTCCGGACACTTATTACCTATTAGGAATTTGTTGAACTGCATTGGACTATTTACATTGGTGTCTTTGGAATGGATATGAATGGTTATTTAGAGTACTACACTGTTAATATAAGAATGTTTTGAATTAAGTGTCAAGTATTTTTGGGTACAGTGTTACAGTTTTTGACTGTGTTGCTATAGGCACTACGCTCTTTGCTGTACTTCCATTTATTTATTCTAAACCTCCATGTGGGGGCTGGAGATCTCCTGGACTTACAACTGACCGCCAGACGACAGAGATCAGCTCCCCTGCAGAAAGCACCTGCTCTGGAGGGTGGACCCTAGGCGTCACCTCCCAGCGGAGATCCTCCCCAGGCTCCACCCGGACTGCAAGCGGAGTCCCTGAGACAGTCCTGCAGGAGCCAGCCCGGGGCGCACACCGGAGCCAGCCTGGCGCAGGGGCTAAAGGGGCGGACTAGGACCTGGGAGACCCCTGTCTGAGTCCCCACTCGTGCCGCGGAAGCTGGCTGGGTGACCCAGGGCCAGTCACACACCTACCCCACAGGGCTGTTGTGGGGATAAAACGGAGGAGAGGAGAACAATGTCAGCTGCTTTGGGTCCCCATCGGGGAGAACGGCAGGATACAAACAGAGTGAGTAAATAAATCAACTAACCCCAGCCGATGCCGGCCTGGGTCCAGAAGGGGATGAACAAACCCTACTGGAGGTGCCAAAAATACCTCGAAGTGGGTCTGACTTTGGGAAACAGCAGAGTGCTTAAAGTCACCCGAATGGCTGCAGTGCCAGGCTAGGATCTGATTCGAATCTCCACCAGATCTGCCACGGGAGCTCACTGAGTGACCTTGGGCCAGTCACACACGCTTTGCCTGACATACTTCACAGGGTTGTTGTGAGGATCAAATAAGAAGAGAACGTTGAAAGCTACTTTGGGCCCCCGCTGGGGAGAAAAGCGGGCAATAAATGAAGAAATTATACCTGAACCATAAATGTGTGTGGGCTGTCTACCCGGGAAACCAGGACTAAGCTACAAAGGGGAATGCTGCTGGTCCAGAGGGCAGACAGCAAACCACAGTTTGGGCACAACAAACTTTAGGGAAGTCTTTCATTTTGGGGCCACGTGCAGAGATGAGGGGGTGGGTAGAAGCTTCAGGATCCCCCCAGATTTGTTCCTGTAGCCACGATTTGTAGTTCTACATGATGCCTGTTAAAGGAACACATTCAGCCTCGCTTTCTTCCTCCCCGTCTTTCCATGTGAGTTTTTCTCCCACCCCGACCCCCCAAGACAGGAAAAGAGTAGATGGGGAAGCAATGAAGAGAGAGGAAAAATCAGACATCGGATGGATGTGCGGTTTCATTGGCAGCCCTAGAACTGGGAGATCAAAGTCCCGAAACGGCATCCGGTGATTATGTGAAACTAGAAAAGGAAACCAGACATGGGGAGGCTGTGCCGAACATTGTGCTGCTCCCATTTGGCAAAACCTGGGAACTTGTTAAAAACTTTCCTTTCAACAAGCCTTTGCCATCTCAGCTGCTCCCTGGCAAGCGGTCCAGATGTTGCAGCAGTGGAGCTGAAGAACAAGCAGGATGCTGGCGGCCTCTGGGGATGCGGTGCGTGCCTTGCCCCCAGACTAGCGACCAGAGCAGACACTCTGCCCACGCAGATCACCCCTGCTCGGGCCCTTGGAGCCTGGATCTCTTCAAGGACTCATAGCCACACTCTGAGCAACCTGACGTTTTCCAAAGTGCCTTCAAGGACTGCCCTGCATAGAGTGAATTGCAGTAATCTAATCTGGAGGCGACTGTCGCACGGATCACTTAGGCGAGGCCAGAGACCCGGGGGGACAGCTGAGGAGCCTGGGGGAGAGGGGGGAAAGCCTGCTTTGACACTGAGGACGCCTGTTTCTCCAAGCTGGCCTGTAGCTACGGCGGGGCTACTGGGGGCTCTGCCCCCTTCCTTAAAGCCCCCCCTTCTTCCCAAAAGGGTCCCTTTAAATGCTTTTGCACAGAGGCGGGGGGGGGGCGGCGGCACGTGCCCCTCTCTCTCCCTTCCTGTAAGATTTAAAGGATCCTTCACCTGATCGGCGGGCCACGCGCTCCCTGTCAATAAGCTGAAGGGCCCTTTAAATCTTACAGGAGGGGAGGGAGAGGGGTGCATCCCCCTTTCATTATGGCAAATAATGGCAGCCCCACCAGCCTGTCTCCAAGGAGGCATCCAGCCAGACCCCCAAACTCTTCACAGAGTCCACTGGAATAAGTTGGGCATCATCCAGAGCAGGCAGCCAGAGACAACCCCCCACCCCACCCCTCCACAGCCCCAAGACTGCAGCTGTGTAAATCTGTTCCGGCAAGTCTTAAGACACCAATAGGTAATAACATAACTTCCCTAGGAGACTGATTCCGGGGGGGTGTCGCCGTGTTGGCTTGAAGCAACAGAACAAAGTCTGAGTCCAGTGGGGCACCTTTCAGACCAACACAGTGTTATTCTGGGTCTAAGCTTTCGTGTGCATGCAGAATAAAACTTTATTGGTCTTAAACTTTACACAGATATTCTGTTCTCAACAGGATCGGCTCATTCTACCAGATAGCCAACAGTCAGCAAGTGCAAGGTAGTGGTTAGCATGCTGGACTAGTTTCTGTGAGACCCAGGTTCGAATCCCCACTCTACCATGGACGCTTGCTGGGTGACCTTGGGCCAGTCATGCTCTCTCAGCCGAACATCCCTCATGGAGTGGTTGTAAGGCTAAAATGGGAGGAGACAAGAACAATGGAGGCTGTTTGGGGTCCCCAGTGGGAGGAAAGGCTGGGTATAAATGCAGAAGATAAATTAATTCTCAATATTGGTTCAAGGACAGGGACTGGCTAGCCCTAGTGGGATTCTGGTAGCACTTACCACAATACTTTGCTCCCCCTTTTTATTATTTATTTATTTATTTCTTATTTCGATTTATACCCTGCCCTCCCCGCGAGTGGGCTCAGGGCGGCTAACATTAGCCGGTACCCAGTACCGTTTTTAGACCGTTCCATTACTGTTCCTCCTAACACAGGTAAAGTCCTCCTCTGACAATGTCATGTACTCACCTGCTCTCCTGTAGGGAACCAGAGTCCTGGACTCTGGGGCTGGGAATCATGTGCCGGACTCTCTGGGCCACGGAGGCAGCTTGCCAGAGGTGTGAGCTGCTGGCCTCCATCAGGGTCTGCTGTGGGTCAAAATCCCCAGTGGTAACAAGCTCAGAGCTCCAAGACTGGGTGGGAATTCCAGCTACCAGCTGAATGGAGGCCATCGGTATGCAGTACAGTTAAAGGCAGGCAAAGGATCAGGTTCCAGAAGTGGCAGCCCAAGTGGAGAACGGATGCTCGATCTATCACAGCTGCATGACGTGTGGCTGCCTGAGTCTCCCTCCTGGGTGTCCTATCTGTTAGCGGGGCTTGCCGTACAGGTGAGGTGGCATCTCCAGGGCACACAGGTCGATCTACAACTCCTTCACCAGATGAAGCTGTGGAAGGCCTAGCAATCCTGGGTCGAGACCCATATAGCTTTGCCATCTCTGCTGTGTTTCTGCGCCCACAGTGTGACTGGCCAGAAGGTAGTACAGCAGCTACTGGCTCAGTAGGGGCCGGGCAGTAGTGTGGGATGACAGCTGTTCCCATCTAGGGCTTGATTCTGACTCTTCAGCCTGATCAACTCATGCAGAGTTGGGAGCAAGCAAATGACTCTTGGGCTGCCTGACCCCAGCTGACTCGCCTCTGGAGCCCCGGCCTCTGGAGCCCCGGCCTCTGGAGCCCCGGCCAGCCTTCACCCTTTACAGGCTCATAAAGCCCACTTCTGCTGCTATGGCCGTCAATTATGCTCAGCTATTGTTGCCATGATTATAGCTCTGTGAGAGATCATCCCCGCAGCAAAAAGAGTGTTGTCGTCTCCCCCCCCCCCCGCCCATCTCTTTCGCACACAATCCCCTGCTGCCATTTCCAAGGCGATTAACCTTTCGCACGCTGGGCACTGCAGCTTCAAGTGCTATTCCCAGCGTCCTCCACAGAGATAAAATCATGTAGATGTATTATGTGCAATTTACAGCATAATTGCACAGTGATTAGATAGCTAATCGGGCTTCCGGAGATGAACTTGTTTGAGGCAGGAAGAGCTACACAGGGATCAATCAGCCCGTATTGGGGATAATCCCGTTGGACACAGACTGGAGGAGAACTGGATGCAAATCCCTGCTTGGCTGGCATACAGACCAGGCGGTCCGAGAGCGAGCCACTTCCTTGGTGGGTCTAAACTTCTGGCTTTCCGACCCACAGCAGATGGAGCTATTTGCAGAACGAATGAATGCTGAACATGGCAGAACCTTCAACGATGAGGGAGGGAAAGGAGCTCACGAGGAGGAGACCTTCGGCAGGGGCACTGGGGGCGTTGAGGAGGATAAAGTAAGATCACTTCAGGACGGTCCTGAGATCCTTGGAAGAAAAGGTGGGGTACAAACATGAAAGGCAGGCAGGCAGAGGGATTCTGACCTGTGTGAGGATCGCAGCTGCCGTGCTGGTTACACGAACAGGGGATGCAGCTGGTAAATGGGCCAGCCAAGGGCACCTCTCGCTTGAAGTTTGGAGCACAGGATTCACAGAACTGACCCACGTACCCTTGAGGGCAGGTACATTCTTCCACCCACAAGGCAGGCTGGGAGAGGCCTGGGCGAGCAGAGGTGAGCCGGATCTCCTTCAAGGAAAACCTCCCTGTGAAAATGCAGAGGGACCATCAGAGAGAAAACAGACCATGTTCGCCCCTGTAAAAGTGCCTGTCTATTCATTTTTTAAAATCAGTACCCTGCACTCCACAGCCAATGTGGGCTCTTGAAGTGTCTTAGAGGAGGTGGCTGTACATCATTAACACATAAATGAGCATTAAAATCAATCAATAATTTTGAAAGGAAAATTCAGACTCAGAATGCTGGGTAAAATTAGTTTTCAGCTGGGGCCAAATGCTGGGCGTTAGGGCGGGTGGATGAGCATTTCATAATTGGGGTGCCGCAACTGAAAAGGCCCTGTCTCTTGTTAAGCCTGGTCTCACCTCCAATAAGGGAGGGAGACAAATCGGGGCCTCAGACGAAGATCTCAGTTCACAAACTGGCACAGCACAGCAGCTGGCAGGATTTCAGGTACCCACGTCTCAAGCTGTTTGGGGCTTGGCAAGCTGCATGTCTCCATGAAAGGTGCAATGACTAGAACAACAAGCCTGTATCTGAAAGCAATGAACCTTCCTGAAGTAGAAACTACAGTTTAATCAGTTTCACACCCACATTTCTTAGAAGTACAACCAAGTCTCGTATTAATATTGCACTTTACACACGCTGAATAATGCACTTCCAATTAACTTTCAATGTACTTTGCAACTGGAGTTTACTATGTGAAATGGGGAAATCCACTTGCAGACAATCACTAATCAGTGCATTGAAAGTGGACTGAAAGGGCATCATTCTGCTTGTGTGAAAATAAGAGTCCTCAGTGTGGGGTTGCCCGAGGGCTTGATCATACCTTGTACTGGCCTTTCATCCTGCCTTGGTCTGTCACAAGGACTTTTATTCAGAAATGCCCTGCAAGGTCCATGCAGTGAGTCCAAGTCCCAGGGGTGTCCAACTCAGAATGCAGGGTGGTTTGCAGGAGGAAGGAGTTTATGACCCCCCCCCCCATTTTTCTGACTTGAAACCACCCAGGGAGTTTGTTCTGCTGAGGAAATTTACATGTATTACATGCAAGTTTCTCCAAAAGAGCAAGTAGTGGGGGACCATATGGAGGGAAGATTTAAGGCCTTTCTATGTACCATGGTCCTGATCCAAATCGGGCCCCTGCATGCCTGAGAACTGAGTTCTGAGCATGGCACCTGCAGGGTATGTCTTATCAAAACTCCTTGTGGTGGACCCAAGGAGGCTGTAGAGACAACATAAGGTACAATTAGGTTCTCAAGGTCTGTGCGTGGAGTCCCTGCAGCATCCAGGAGGGCCAGAAAGAGACTGATTTCTGATTCCAGCAGCTGCCTTTTGCCACAAGTCTGCCTGTTGTCTTTGCTCAGTCTGTTGGTTTCTTTCATGGCCATCCCGTGCTGTTTCTGACCTTGTCAACAGCCTGTGTGCTGGATCCTGCTGATCCGTTCCTCTGCAGCAGGTGCTGCCCTGTGTGGCAGGCATCTTCCCCTGACCATGGTACATAGAGAGAGCCAGTTTGGTGTGCGGACTCTTATCTGGGAGAACCGGGTTTGATTCCCCACTCCTCCACTTGCACCTGCTGATGTGACTTTGGGTCAGTCACAAGCTCTGGCACAGCTGTCCTTGAAAAAGAGCAGTTTGTGTCAGAGTTCTCTCAGCCCCACCCACCTCACAGGGTGTCTGTTGTGGGGAGGGGAAGGGAAAGGAGTTTGTAAGCCGCTCTGAGACTCCAAGTGAAGGGCGGGGTATAAATCCAATCTCTTCTTCTTCTTCTTCTTCTGAGGCAAGACAGCCGCTTGAGTTGGGGAATGCCCCTTTTGCCAGAAGACTTTGAATGGGGAATCTTTGCTCCCCCCCAAAGATCATCAGTGTTCATCATTACCCTTTCTAGCCTGAGCCTCCGGGGTAGGGCGGGGTATAAATTTAAATATAAATAAATAAATAACCCTTGTCAAAAATACTGCTTAATTCTTAATTTCTGAAAACAGTTTTGCTACAAGTTAGAAGCAAAAGAAGGCCCGCAAGATTACAAGGAACAGGGGCCACTCAGCTTTATGGGAAAGTGACATGCAACCCTGAAAGAAGACAACAGCTTTGGTCCCAGTCACACGGGCCGTAAAATGCAGAGGGAAAGCATGGCAGTTTGGCCCGGAGCAAAATAACGCGCGGCCGCCTGATCACAGGTCCCGTCGAGGTCCCGTGGGTAGGGGCGAGGTGGTGATCACACGATGATCCTGCAGCGCGGCAAAGAAGTGGCGCGGCGCGATCTCACCAACAGCATGCGCGACTCTGCGGAGCAACAGAACTTTTGCTTTCCTCTTTGTGTGCATGCGCCATTGGGTGCTTGTGCGCATCCTGTGGAGACTTGGGGGGAAAAACCCTGTTTCCGATGGGACATGGGCGGGCGCCGGATGCCATGGACTACCACCAGAAATGCAATCAGATGCCAGCCCTTGCCCTGCGGTTTCCGGAAACTAGTACCTCGGAGGTACTAGTTTTTAACTCCGCATCTTCGGCGGGAAGCCTCGGGTTCGTCATGGGAGCTCTACGCTTCCAAGATGTTGCGGTGTGATCGCGCCCAGAAAATCCGCCTATCATCCGTCTCAGTAGCGTGGCTAATGCTCCATGTGACCGCAGCCTTTGATAACTATTTAAGTAAAACCGTCTCTGTTATAACAGTTTCAGACAGGTGTCAATAAACAGTGAGCAGAAGAAAGTATACATGTTGCCTCTGTCAAAATACAAAAATGAAACTGGATTTGGCATTCTGCAATTACACTTTTAAGCAATTATTCTGTTGTGCACATGAGATATAGTCCTTCCTATAGTCCTTAGCTCTATGACTCCAAACCACAGGTGGGGGATTGTATGTTTAAAAGCTCCATAAGAACAAAAACCTCACTGTGCAAAGAAATCTAGCACATAAGGGAGAAGGATTCTCGATTAGCCACCTCCATGCTATAATTGCTTTCCCTGCACAGGGCCTTTCTAAAAGACGGGGTTATATGGAGTCTCAAATGGTACAACTCAGTGGGGTTATAGGGGTTTTGAAATGGCTGCCCCACAGGCCATTTGCATACATCTGAAATCTCCTCTACTCCAGCGCAACCTGAATCAATCAGAGGGTGTTCAACGGAACCACCTTCTCCTGATGAGAGCTGCCACCTTAGCCCCATTGCTTCTAGTATGTCAAGAGCCACCCTGCCTCCCCCATCTCCTCTGGTCTCATACCCAGTCTGTCGCTGCTTTCCATCCGGATGCGAAGCGCTGTCAGGTTGGTCAGGAGGCGCTGGAACTGGAAAGACGGCATTGTGGGTTGCATCTTTCCCTCCATCTCATGAAGCCTGTGAAAGACCAAAGTCCAAAACGGAAATGCGGAGTTCTTTATGCATGGGGTAAAAGGCTGCTACTCACTACAGATAAGGAGACCTTTTCGGGTCCCTGCTCACATCTGTCCCATGCCAAGCTGACCTTTTAATAACCATTTACATCCCAGAGTACTATTAAAGCATTGCTACTTCAACTTCCCCAGTATTACCCAGAGTTTATTAGGTTAGCTGAACAGCACCAAAGTGCACTAAACATCCCGTCTTGTAATTGCTTTGTTGTTGTTCAGTCGCACAGTCGAGTTCGACTCTCTGCGACCCCATGGACCAGATCACGCCAGGCCTTCTCCAGTGAGTGCTCCCTTCTCATTTGGTGGCCAAAGTATTTGAGCTTCTGCTTCAGTATCTGGCCTTCCAGGGAACAGTCAGGGTTGATTTCTTTTAGGATTGACTGATTTTATCTTCTTGCAGTCCAAGGGACTCTCAAGAGTCTTCTCCAGCACCATAGTTCAAAAGAATCTATTCTTTGGCGCTCAGCCTTCCTTATAGTCCACAGGGCAAGTATACATATGCAGATTATTATTATTTTTAAAAACCTCCTTTTTATTTTGGTGTTTAGTGTTCTAAGCTGACTACAGTTTATCCTGTTTTTACCTTTCAGCTGATTGCTTTGATTCTGCTGTTGTAAATTTGCATTCTTCTGAATTTTAAATGGTCATGAAAAAACAATGCCTTGAATTGACACAGGAGGAGCAAAGGAGAGAGGCGAAAAGATAAATACCTGAATGTCACCATATATTCTCCACGGTGCGTGTTGTTCAAGTGCCCTTCCACACCGGAGTGCCTTGCTGACACCACAATGCCACCCCCCTCTAAAACCAGCTGGACGGGAAAAGGAGAAGCAGTGGAGGTGCTGTCTTGGGTGCGAAACAGCACCAAGGACTGCTGCCCATAGCTGAGACGCTGGTCGTACAGGAACTTTTCTAGGAATTGGAAGATAAAGACAATTGGCAAAGTGGAGGTTATGGTAAAGGCCTGTTGGTGATGTGGACTCACTGTGCCATTTCATCCATTAGACTGTGAAAACAGACATTTACCTTCCCTGTGGGTAGACCTCTCAGGGGCCTGTGGTGAGTCAGAATCTTTCTAGGGTTTGTGCTTCAATCATCTTTAAAAGATGTGGTTTGGAACACCAAATGGTAGGCTGTTAACTGGCCTACAGACTTTCCTCAGTTAACTGGTTAATCACTAGAACACTTTGGGTTGACTGAAAAGGCACTCCTGATGAGTTCGGCAACACTTTTTTGTTCTTAAAGTAAATGTTTATTATTTTAAAGATGCCCTTATAACAACTGCTGCAGGAAGGCTCCAGTTTACTTATTTATTAATCTCATTTTTACCCCTCCCTCCCCACAAATGCTGGCTCAGCGTGGCTGTTTAGAAGCAGCAACCCTCCTTCACCCTCACACAGGAGGGGATCTTAAAAGAGGCACTCCTCTTTACACCAGAGGGAATGACTCTTCAGAGATGGGACCTGCTGTGGAACATGGTGCGTCATCCAAACCCAAAAGAAGTACCCTTTTTTCTCATCTTGGAAACTTTTGCTTGAGATGTATGCAAATGTAAGCAAATAAAATTGGTTAACTAGTGTGATTCATCAACAAAGATTTCCTTAATGGGCTGAGAGGCCTTGTTTCTCTTGTGTATGGTAAGCCCTCAGCTTATTTATAGGAAGAGAACAGCAGATCTGAGGTGGTTCTGGGAGGAAAGAATTTAAAAAAAAAAAAGTGTATGGTAAGCCCCCAATGGCAAGGAACTCAGTCAGCTGTCCCGTGTGGAGATATGACGATCCAGGAAAAAATAGAAACATTCGGGGGGGGGGGAACCCCTGCCCCCCCTTTCCCCCTGAGGCTCCTCCCCCCATTTTTTTCTGACAGAAAAAATTGCACTTTGGGAGATTACTGAGGGGGGAAACTCCTATGAAATATTTTCTCTTTCAGAATGAGTGAAATGCTTTCAAAGACCCATTTTTGCCCCCCAGAAGGATACCTAATCTTCACAAGGGCAGCATGCAGAACTTCCATTGCTTTTCAACAGTTGTCCTTTTGACTTGATTTGTGCTTGCCATTTTCACCTCTCCCTCAAACCATTGTGACACACATACCCACAGCTTGGGAAAATAGCAGCTTATTGCCCAACTTGCAGGTGGGAGAAAAAAGATCAGAAGGAGTTGAGGGAGAAACTGCACCAAAGCCTCAAAGTAAAACTGAAAGCTTTACTGAGAACTTGGCTCTCTCTCTAACCAGATAGCAATAATTAAGGTACATGTTCCAAAACAGATCAAGATGCATTGGCTTGCAGTATTCTCTCAAGTACGGGGTATATTTGCAGTTTTGCTTGGCCAAAACTAAGGCATTAAACTCTATAAATATGTGGAATATTGCAATTTTATAATAGTTATAAATGATGCATTTTATGTTGTTAAAGCAGTAAAATTAGTTCAGGTTTGAGAGGACACTAAGTATTGCAGTTATTTCAATTTCCCCCCAAATTTCTGTTTTCCCACTGAAAAAATAAAAGATAACCCCACACACATTTTTGCTCCCTATGGCTTCAACATTCCTGGAAATTTTACATGGGTTTCTGACTGGCTCTTAACACAGCCTCCCCAAGCCCAAGGCTTTGCTCTCCAATTACAGACCTTAGCCATTTTCTTCCCCATGAGCCTAGATAGAGGCAAAAGACTCTTTAACCCCTTCCCCCCCAGTCTGAAACAGCAACGAAGAAGAAGAAGCAGAAGAAGAAGAAGAAGAGATTTGATTTATACCCCGCCCTTCATTTGGAGTCTCAGAGCAGCTTACAAACTCCTTTCCCTTCCCCTCCCCACAACAGACACCCTGTGAGGTAGAAGAAGAAGAAGAGATTGGATTTATACCCCGCCCTTCACTCACTCAGAGTCTCAGAGCGGCTTACAGACTCCTTTCCCTTCCCCTCCCCACAACAGACACCCTGTGAGGTAGGTGGGGCTGAGAGAGCTCTGACAGAACTGTCCTTGAGAGAACACTCTGACAGAGCTATGGCTTGCCCAAGGTCATCCAGCAGCTGCAAGTGGAGGAGAGGGGAATCAAACCCGGTTCTCCCAGATTAGAGTCCGTGCACTTAACCAGTACACCAAACTGGCTACAAAGGCTTTGACAGAAGCTCCCCTTTATGATGCACCTCAGCTGGTCCCTCCCACTTGCCTCGGCCTCGTCTCACACAGGGTCCTAGCAGTCAACCATAAGGGAAGGCCTCTATTACTGATCACCTGGAGGCTTACCCATTTGTGGGTCTGTGCAAGTAAGAGCCAGTGATCAGGCCATTCTTGCTGGCCTGCTGACCCCCCAAAATTAGGACGGGACAATTAGGATACCCATGCAAATATAATGAATGCAGTAGCTTGAAAGGAGAGCACACCCCCCCATGCCCTCTTTGTAGATGCTATACCTGGTGCCACGAAATCAACTGCTTCCTGTTTGCCTTGCTCTAGGAAGATCTCTCCTTCTGCCCAGCTCAATGGAACCTCCTGGCCTGCCAGCGTTTCTGCTCTCCAGCCCTCCAGCCCTGGTTGCACAGAGAAAGAAAAGACATTTCCGCATAGTAGACCTTTTGAGGTAAAAGGGGCGAAGTCCACCCTGTATTTTTCTGTGCAAAAGTCACACTGCAGAGGTCCCCACTTCGGCTGGAGCCTCTGTTCTGGTGTCATCTCACCAGTAGAAAAGACCTCCAACTGAACAGGAGGAAAGAAGGGGTAAGACGGCACACTTTGATCTTTCATACACAGCTGTGGCCAGCCTTTTAGTTTTGCCCATTTCCTTTGCTGATGTCCTCGATTCATTGCTGTCTTTAAGGCCATTTATATCAACTGTAACAAAAACAATGTTAAAAATTGCATACATTTAGCAAAGCATTTGCAAGGATGCCAATTGCTAGTTGTATGCTGTGACGTCCTCCTTATTGGGGAGGACTATTTTCACTTTAAAAGTTCTCTTTATTTTGTTTAACAGGGTAGATTCTGCTGCCACCAGGAAATTTTAAGGATTTCCAAACCTTTATGCTTATAATGTTGCTCTTACTAGTTTGGTAGACCGAGTTCAAGGCTTACGAGGAACTATGTGGTCCTGGGAAGTATTTCATTCAGAGCTGGTATAAACTTGAATAAAAGAGGATTTATTGGAATAAATACTAAATAAGAGGGTGATACAATGTAACTAGTAATGTGTAAATGATGTACAATTGCTTTGGCATCACACTCAATTTTTTCCCTCACTGACCGGGATCTTTTCATGTAACTTTGTTACACTTGTTTATCTTAATGCCATATATGTTCACTGTTTCACTCCAGTCTGTTATGACACTCAGACTTTCCTTTAACTTTTCTTCACTTAAACTTTACTTTACTTTTTCCTATACACTCAGCTTTCAGCTCTCTTTCTCTTTCATCTCCCTGAACAACTGCAGCTGTCCGCTTTAACTGCTTCAACACAGAACTGTCTACATCAACTGTCAACTTGTAACTGAAACTCCTGACTGACTCACATACTCATCTACCCAGATTCACTTCCAAAACCCCTCCCCCTCTCTGTCAACCACCAATCATACCACACTTGCCTTTCTCAACCACTCTAGTCTATCTACCATAGCCATGCAACCAAACTTTTAAAGAGACACACACTCACAAAAACAAGGAATCATTACATATGCACATTAGATAAATTATGCTTGCAGCCCTTTAAATATGGCATCCACCAGGAGGTGGAAGAAAACAAGAGAGAGAGAGAGAGAGAAACAAAGAAACTGTGGGCAGTTTGAGCAAGGAGTCTGGGTGTGCCACCAGCTGAGGAGGAAGGGTGTATGTAGTACTTAAGTGGAAGCACACACATGGTTCCAGGTTCAATTCCAAGGACCTCCCATCCAAGGGTCTCAGCTAGCAGGGCTGGCAAATGCTCTATCTGAGACTCCGGAGAATCACTGCTAGTCAGAGAAGATAACAGTGGGATAGGCTAGAGAGGCATTTTTCATATTTCCAATTTGGAACCCTTCTTTAAGGGTTCCAATTTGGAACCCTGCCCCATTACCCACTTATAATTTTTAGGATTTTTGTCTGTATTTCCACTCCTCCATCTACCTCTCTCTTTTATTTTCTCTCTTTAAAAGAGACTGAAATATAAAAAGAGGTGACAATGATGGGAATGCTGCTGGCATATCCTTCCAACCAGTTTTGGGTCACAGAGTCCCACCAACCTGGCAGGGAGGGTCTGGTCCCCTACTTTTACAGAGGCTGTTTACTATACAGGAACCCCAAAGCTTCTTACTGGAAAAACTGCTGTTCGTAGATAGAGCAATAGTCTGATCCAGTATAACACAGCTCCTGGCCTTTTTATATGTACTCAGAACTGATGAGATGCCACTTTTAATTTTTCTTTAAATATGATTTTCAAATGTTCTAAAATTTTGCCATTAAGTGGCCAGCCAGAAACCATCTGGAGTTAACATCCTAGGCAATGATAAAGTATAAAGGCCAGATCCAATATAAACTCTGGGAGCACATTAAAATTAATGTGGCAATTCAAATTCTATTTTAAATACAATCAGGGTAGATTTTAATAGGACGGTGTTTCACACCATCTCCTTTTAAAAAAAGAAGCCATAGCTCAGTAACGTCATGCCAAAGTCAAATTATGATACTGTCAATAAATTGCAGCACTGATGGTGTAGCAGAGTTACAGCCTTTTAAATCGACAGGCTTAGGACAGCATAACTCTGCTTAGCACTGCCCTGTGAACCAGGGACTAATCAGGACTGGCCCCAACCTGGGTGGCCCAGGGTTGCCCCATCTTGTTAGATCTCCCAAGCTCAGCAGGGACAGCCTAAATTAGTACTTGGAGGGAAGTCCCAGTTGCTAGCCGAGGCAGGCAATGCCAAACCACCTCTGAACCTTCCTTGCTTTGAAAACTGGTGGGGGTCACTAAAGGTCAGTTGCAACTTGGGGCTTCCCTCCTTGCCTCTTCGCATTTTGGGAGGTTGTATGACTGGCGTTTCCTGGGCTGTCAGCAGAGGGTGCTGCTTCACAAAAGATGGGGCTCCCTGTTTGCTTTGGCTTCACCAAATTCCTGTGGAGTCCAACTGTCCAGAGCTGAGCAAAGCGCCAGCTTTCTCCATCAAAGCTCAGCTTGGAAAGAGGCCTTTGCCCAGGGAGGGAACCAAGCTAAGTGAAGCCTCAGGAGGAACGGGAGGTGGTGTCAGGCCTTTGTGTCACAATGAACGGCTGGTTTGTTTTGAAGGGCCAGGGCTTTCTCGGTGGCAGCTCCACAATGGTGGAATGAGCTCCTGGAAGAGATCAGGGCCCCACAAGACCTTTTACAGTTCTGCAGGGCCTGCAAGACGGAGCTCTTCCACCAGACCCTCAACTAGGAGCTGCCACCATTATCAATAACAACGGAAACCTGTAGAGCCTGGCCCTTGGTTTGCTACTGACAGCCTGTCCCGCCGATTATATCTGAGAAGATCAGCGAGCTGAACATTTAGACAATTTATGGTTTGTATTCATGTGATACCACCATCTTTATGGTGTCAAAAGAACACTGCTAGCACTTTAGTACTGTATTGTTTTTAATGAACTGTTTTCAGATGTTTTATGGTAACATCTTTTATGTTCTTATCTAGCCCAGCCTCCTAGACGGTAAGGGCACTGCATGTGATTCTCTCCTTCCTCTTCTTGTTTAAATTCATTTGCATCTTCCCTCCCTCCATTACCAGTGTGCATGTGCAACAACTGGTAAAATATTGCAAAAAAGCAATCTTGTTGTGGTTGTACATTTGATTGCATCTCATTTTCTGCAGTTTTTTACTAGTGCGCATGTGCGCACCTCTGCATTGTTAAAATGCCATACAAAATGACTCTTGGAAGAGCTGAACATTTAATCACATCCTGATTGCTTTTTTGCAATGTTTGATCAGTATGCTAGGGATGGGCGTGAACTGACTCACAAGCAAAAATTCAGCATGAACTTGGGCCGGTTCGGAGCCCCCGAACTAATGTTTGGGGAAGGCGCCTTTCTGCCAAAAATTTACTAGACTTTTCTCCAGTTCAGCTATCTGAGACCATTTCAACCTAACAGCTGATGGGTGGAACCACCCTGTTGTTAGATTTAAATGGCTGCGAGTCATTTCACCAGAGGGTTTTATTTCAAAACGGGGGAAGGTGAAACCCACCGGTAAAATGTCTACCAGACATTTAAACCTAACAGCGGGATGGGTCCACATGTCAGCTGTTAGGTTTAAATGGCTGTGAGCCATAAACCTGTCAGTTTTGCTGACAGTAGCAAAATGGATGGGTTAAACCAGCCAAATGGATGGGTTGAACGGCTGCCAGCCATTTAACCCTTCCTGGGAGAAGGGGGGAACCAAACTCACCGAACTGGCTTGGTTCGTGTGGGGGCCAAACCAGATTTTTTAGGTTCAAGCCCATCCCTACAATATGCATGTGCACATTTTAATACCAAGGAAGGGGCAATGCCTGTGAACTGAAGGACAGTGCCCAACTGCTCACGCACATTGCTCTGTGCAAAATTTTGAGGAGGGAAATGGGACAATTTAGAATTCCCAGTGCATTGATTTCATTTTGAAAAGAAGGCTGGGATATTTGGAACTCCATCATCTGAGGAGAATTTTGGATAACGGGGGGGGGGGGGCATCCTAGCATTGTTAGGCTAGCTTTAGATTGGGGATGACCATCTTCTGTAATTCATTCTGTAATTCCATTCTCCAGATAATGAACGAGGCCATAATAAGACTGGGTGTTTTTGTTTTTGTTTTTTAGCAGAAGGGGCTTTCACCTTAAGTCACCTTGCACATGTTTGCATTTTTGCTATTTTTCATTGACATAAGAATGATGCCCTTCACTACCATCTGGCTTCATGCTTGTACAGGCTTCCTCTTTCTGGGGTCTTCTGCTAACTGCACTTCCAGAAGTAGGGTCTAGGGAGCTCTAATCTTCAATATCTCCTCCCCAAAACAATTCCCAGGATTCCTAATTGGAAGCCATGACTGTTAGACTGGCATATATCGAACACAAGTTTGTTGTGTAGGTAATACCTAGAGAAAAACATTTCCTAATTACCTTGGCTGAAGTCAGAGACGATGTTGTAAACTTCGTACCCAGGAGCTACTGTGCACGCCCTTGAATGCCCAAAACAGAAGCAGCTGGTGCACCCAGCAGGGTTGTGGGGCTGAAGGTTGAAGTTCCCAGGCTGGCACCTGGACAAAGAGAAAGCATGTGCCAGAGGGTCAGCGACCATTCTTTGGTTCAGATTTATAATCCATTCTCTTCAGAATGACCCAGAGCAGGGAACATCAGTGCTGGGCACCCATAAGGACTAGAAACTTGCTTGACACTGAAGACTGATATCCTCCTCAGCAGTCTGTATTCTGAGAATACCACATCCCTATTATCTGCATCCAGCACCACATACTTTACTTAATAAGCATGTAAGAAAATAGATACTATCCCAGACTTGCAACAATCATTACTCCCTCGCCCAGGTTTGCTGTCTAAGGCCAAACTAGATGGGTGGGAGATCAGATCCCTTACATCCCCCCCCCTGCCCCCGGCCAGTTGTCAATAACAGCCACACAGTCCCTCAATTCAGACCTGGCTTGTGATGAATAGGCATAAACCAAAGCAGTATTAGTCATGGGGCAACAGGGGCAGATGGCCCATGCTGGGGGGGGGGGAGAGGTCAATCATGCATGCCCCTTTTCAATCTGGCTTCAGGCCTGCCTTTTGGACAGAGACAGCTTTGGGTCTGCTGACAGTCATGGCCATTAGATCCATCAGCCGTTCTTAAATCTATCGGCACACAGAAATTAGGGAGGGCCTGGGGGAGGTTCACCTGCTCCGCCTCCTCAAGTCCCAAAGGCCTCTGTCTTCACCCTTTATTGTACCTGAAGCATTTGCACACGCATTTGCTCGGGGCTAACTCACCTGTTGCACAGGTATCCTTCTACTTTCTCCTTACAGGTGCAGTGCCCCGTGTTCGGGTCACATGTCCCTATGCTGCCGGCTGCATCACAGGCACAAGGTCTGCAAAAGAGGAAACAGAATGAAGCCAATTGACCGGCTGTGGTTATCTTGTCATACTCTGTGCTCCAGAAAGGTAGTTCCTGAGGTTCAGGTGGCTGGGCATTTTTTGCACACCATACCCATTCTCCCTTTGTGCATGGCACCTTTGGTAGTTGGCAAGTGTGTGAGAGAAGCTTTGAGTTGTGCACATGTTAAGGGGGCCCCTTTGAGGCTGCTTTGCCCAAAGACCACCACCCCTCTGAATACCTGGAGCTGAACATGGCCTGAACACCAAGACCCTGACCCCCTCCTCCTTGCAGAACCCCTCCCCACAATTGTCCCTGGGGGTGGCGGTTCCTTCCTTCTCACCTGCAGCCGCCTTCACTGAGGGAGTGAAACCCCTTCCTGCAGCGCTCGCATTTCCAGCCAGTCACAGTTGCTTTGCACTGGCACGCCCCTGAACTGTCACACTGGAGACTTAAGGAGCCTGGGAAGAAGAAGGCTGCTAGGCAGACGGAGAAGAAGAAGAAGAAGAAGAGAAGGTCACATCCGCAGGTGCAAGTGGAGGAGTGGGGAATCAAACCCGGTTCTCCCAGATTAGAGTCCACCCACTTAACCACTACACCAAACTGGTGTAGAAGTGAGGGGGCCCAGAAAATCCCATGGGGGTCCCAGCTTATGGGCTCAGAGAAGGGGCTGGATGGCAGGCTGGTAGGGCTCCAACGAAGGGGACCAGTGGATGCAATGATGGTCATGAGTGTGGCTTCAGCCAGACTCATGGAGGAGAGGTCCATCACTGGCTACTGTCAGGTAGCCCTGTCATAGAGTTGGAATGTGGAGGAGTGCACCTCCTCCTCTTTCGTTCCCAGCTCATCCCTGTCTGGATGAGGGCTGCTATCTCTGGCCTGACCTTGTTATTTCTTCCAGCTGCAAATTAGCCGGCCTGGAAACCTTAATGGCTTACGTTCTCAACTGCTTGCTTGCTTGCTAGCTTCAGCCCACGCGCGCAAAATATACTCAGTGGCCATCATACTGCAGGCCATTCCTGACACAAGCTGCATACTCGTTCTTTAGTAATGGACTACCAATAAAACACTTATCTTCACAAGAAGCCTTGGTATGTGGTGTGACCTGTCTAAGGAGCCTGACAGCTACTTGCCATGGCGACTAAAGAGAACCTCCATATTCAGAAGTGGCAAACCTTTGAACACCAGGGCAAGGAGGCAGCATTAGAGGAAGGCCTTCGCTTCTATGCCCTCCAGGCCACTGTGTGAGACAGGATGCTGGCTTAGATGGACCACTGGTCTGATCCAGCAGGGCTCTTTTTATGTCCTTATGAATGAACCGCTGCTCACAGCAGTGACCTATGAAAGGCTGCCATCCACACTTCTTTTGATATCGCACAATCGTTGTGCTTTAGCACTCTTTCACAACTGAACTCTCCTGTGTGGACAAGAAAAATCCAGGAGGCCAAGGGTTATTATAAGGCGACAGCAGGACAAAGTCCAGAAAGGTGCAGGTCACGGACCTTCTAGAGTATCCTCTGGTTGGGTTTGGGGTTCTCATATCAGGTGCCCTAGGGCTCAGAGCCAGCACCTGAGGCCTCAAAACCTCACTCTGCAGAGAGAGCCGCCGGCCTAGTGTCCCTTGCACGCTGCCTGGAGGGAGCCAATGAGAGCAGCTGGGGCCAGCTGATTGAAGGGTCCAATCAGACTGAGCTGGTAGGTATAAAGTAGCTAACTCCAGGCTGGGCCCTTCAGTTTGAGCCTCATATCCGTAGTGTATTACTGTGTTAACCTTGCATCCAATGACTCTATTCAGTCCCCTCACTTTTGGAAGCTCCGTCCACATTCATCCAAATCTGAAACATGTTTTCCTGACACTGAGTACTCCTTGGGGGGATTTCACTGTAAACAAGGACTCATGGATACAATCCTAGCGTTTATTCGTTTTTAACCCCCACGCAATACCACTGGTGGGATCAGGTCTGGAACGGCCACCTGGCCCTTCCTTCCCTCCCCTCTCTGACCTCTGTGTACCTGCTGGGTTACAGTTGCAGGGCTGACACGCCATCCGGATGTCCCAGCGGTAGAAGTTCTGGCGGCAGCGTTCACAGTGTGACCCGTCCGTGTGATCCTGGCAATTCTGGCAATGGCCACCATGCCCGGTGCGCCGGTACAGCTCCCAGTCGTAAAAGCACTCCTCCGACCTGCCACTGCAGTTGCATGCTGGGTAGAAAGTGTCATGGTGGCAGCTCAGAGAAGGCAAGAGCCAGCCACTGGAGGGGTTATTATCACGCAGGCCTGAGCCCCGGCACCTTTTTTAAAAAACCAAGTGCTGCCTCTGTCATTCAGTTTCAGTCTCTAATGTTATGTTTGCCAACATCTAGGTAGGGCCTGGAGAGCTCCCAAGATTACAAGATCTCCAGCTGCCATGGAGAAACTGGCTGGTTTGGAAGGCGGACTCTATGGCACTCTGCCCTGCATCAGACTTTCCCCTCTCCAAACCCCGCCCTCCCCAGGCTCCCCCCCCCACACAAAATCTCCAGGTATTTCCCAGCCCAGAGCTGGCAACCATAATTACAATTGATCTCCAGATGACAGAGATCAGTTTCCCCGGAGGAAACGACTGCTTTGGAGAGCGGACCCTGCGGCACTATACTGAGGCGGCTCCCCTCCTCAAACCCCGCCCTCCTCAGGCTCCACCCCAAATCTCCAGGAATTTTCCAACCTGTAGTTGGCAACCCTAAGTAAGTTCAAAGCTGGGACTCAGCAAATGAGAGCCAATTTGGTGTCGTGCTTAAGTGCGCGGACTGCAATCTGGGAGAACCGGGTTTGATTCCCCACTCCTCCACTTGCACCTGGGTGGATGACCTTGCGCAAGCTCACAGGGTGTCTGCTGTGGGGAGGGGAGGGGAAGGGAAAGGAGTTTGTAAACCGCTCTGAGACACCTTTGGGTAGTGAAGGGCGGGGTATAAATCCAATCTCTTCTTCTTTTACCTCACAGGGTGTCTGCTGTGGGGAGGGGGAGGGAAAGGAGTTTGTAAACCGCTCTGAGACACCTTTGGGTAGTGAAGGGCGGGGTATAAATCCAATCTCTTTTTCTTCTTTTACCTCACAGGGTGTCTGTTGTGGGGAGGGGAAGGGAAAGGAGTTTGTAAGCCGCTCTGAGACACCTTTGGGTAGTGAAGGGCGGGGTATAAATCCAATCTCCTCCTCCTCCTCCTCTTCCTCTTCTTCTTCCTCTTCCTCTTCTTCTTCATAGCTTTTCACTTTTGCTACAATTTGTCTGGGGTACTCAGGAGGAGTGGGGACTCAAATTGAGACCCAGAGAAGTGCTTGCTTTCTGTACATGTTCTAAACCTGCCTGGATCTTGTAAATCATTAGTCTCAGATGTGTCTCTTGTACTTCTTTTCACTACCCAGCAGCCCTCTCCTCCCTTCAGAAGTTTCTGAGAGCAGAGGACAAAAACCGTTCTGGGAACATTTAGAGCAGGGGTCTCCAGCCTTTTCCAGCCTGTGGTCATATTTATTTATTCTATTTTGGGAATTCTGACACAGGGCAGTGGGTTCAATCACAAAATGGCCGACACTGGAGGCGGAGTCAGCTACACAACGGCTGCTAGGGGAGGCGGAGTCAGTTGCAAAATGTCTGGGACTGAGGGCGTGCATAGCTCTAACAGGAACTCTTCAATGTCTCAGGCAGAAGCTCTGTTTAAAATGAATATATTGTTTTAAAATATCTTCCCGCATACACACCTTCAGCCATGTGATGAAGATGCTTGTGTTGTGGTGGCAGCTGCTACCAAAGCAACATTTTAAAAAATTGGTACAGTCCATTGGATCTCCAACAGCCAAACAGGATCCCTGCTGGGCAGAAGCCCCGTCTAGCCCTGCCCACTTTCTGAAAACACTTGGCGGGCACTAGGAAAAGTGCTGGCGAGTGCCCTGGTGCCAATGCTCCCTCTAAGCTGTGGAGTCTTGTGAGCAAAAATTCTACTTGGTGAGCTACTGACATTAAAGTTGTGAGTGAGCGATTTGGCTACTGCCTCAATTAGTTCGCTCTGGAGCCATCCTTCCTGAGGTAAGACAGAAACGTGTGAGCTGGAGGCTCAAAAACTGTGAGCTAGCTCACACGAACTCAGCTTAGAAGAAACACTGCTTGGTGCCCACATTGGGGACCCGTTTTAGAGCTTCTGACAGCACTGCTAGCTTTTCTGCTGATAAATACATCCCTGCAGGGGTCGTTTCATAGAAAAAGAGCTAGGGGAACTCATTAGCATAACTCATTAGCATATGCCACACCCCCTGACATCACCGGAAGTGTGTCATAAGGCCACACACCCTGACATCACCGGAAGTGTGTCATAAGGCCACACACCCCGCCCCCAATGGTCCCGGCCGCCGCTGCCGGCCTTGCAGCTCCACTGCCGAGCCCCATGAAGGGCCCGGCGGTGGACCTGCAAGGCTGGCGGGAGTGCAAAGAAGCCCCGCGAAGGCCCTCCCTGGCCCCAGGCAGGCAGGGGTGGGGAGAGGCAGGGAGGAAGCAACTTACCCTCCCTCTTCTCCTGCCTCCCCCGCGTTCCCCCCCGAAATGACCTCTGCATCCCTGACTGTACCCAATCCCTTCACCAGGGACAGATGTCAACATATTACTCACGGAGACACTCGTTGGCAGACTCAGCCGTGCCCCGTGCCCATGGACGGTCCTGGTAGAAGGGCTGGCATGATTCACAGTCCACCCCCGTGGTGTTGTGCTCACAGAGACAAACCAGCTCATCTTCTTCATTTGGAATGCATTTGCTAGCGTGACCATTACACTTGCACCTACAAGGGACACGAGCAGGGGAGAGAAACCCTTTTAATATTGGGGCTCCCCCCCCTTTCAGACATTCTGTAAAGCACCAATAGGCTCAGCTGGCATATATCAAACCATGGCTCAACTAAACTAACAATATTTAGCATGTTCATTTGAACAAGGGAACTCCACTAACTATGGTTATTTAGAATATATCAAACCAGAATCTGCAACTATGGATTCAAGTTTGTCTATTATCCACTATGTAGCTTAGCTATGTTCTCATGCAGTGTTTGTTGCAAACATCACGGTCTCCAAACTGCTCTGCAGGCCAGGATAGCAACTCGGCCTCTGTGGGAGAAAATGAGGAAAGAGAGAAGACGATAATACCAGAATTTGTTGAGGCAAAACAGGATCTAAATGATAACCTATGAACTAAAACTTGATTTCACAAACTAACCACTGAGAAAACCAGTCAAGACTTTGTGTTATGTTTGAAATAAGCCACAGGCTGACTGTAGTCTTGTGTAGTAGAAAAGAGCAAAAGTCCTCAAGTACCTTTGTCATAATCTGGCCTGTGCCAGTACGGCCTAGCCAGTTTAAGAGGCCTGGGTGGCAGTAGGAGGCGGCTAGGCCTACAACTCCCAGAAGGCATTGGGAGAGTCAGGAAAGATTCTAAGGGAGACCGTTTGAATCTGTTGGGAACAAAGTCTGGAGGAAGACAGTTTAAGGCAGTTGTTGGCTGCTGGTTGATGGTAGCTGGAGTCTCTGAGCGAGAAGGGGAGAAGCCCTCAGTCCTTTGCCTCCCTGCGGCTGGGTCTCGTGAGAGACAGGCCGGGCTGGGAGAAGGAGGAGCCTGAGTGAGTTAGGCAGGCTGGGGCCTGATAGGAAAAGCCAAGTAAGGCAGTTGCGTTAGTTTATTTTCATTTGACCTTCCCCCCTGTTATCCAGTTGACGCACCTTGCCCAATTTTCCTAATAAACCCTGTTCTGTGTGATTTGGTTGGTGTCCGCCTGGGTCATTAACGCCTGTAACACTCGGTTAGTAAGGGCTTGGGAGATACCCTGGGACTCCCGAGGGACCCTAAAGTCCAGGGTGGTGGCGGCGAAACCCAAAGACCCCTCTGGGGTCATGACAACCTTAAAGACTAACAAAATATGTGGCAGGGGAGGAGCTTTCATGAGTCACTGCTCACTTCTAGTGATATAGCATCCCCATGGTCCACTGATGTATTTTAAACTGAGGGGAAACAAGTAGGTCTAAACCAAAATGCAAGCAAAAACTCATAGAGATGGTGTATAACAACTCATATTATTGAATTGCAGAGTGATAACCACATTACCCTATTACAGCAAAACCAAAAAGTGATGTGGTACCTAAAACAGGCAAAATACAATTTTAGGCTGTATCAACAGATGTATAGAGGCCAGATCATTCAAAGTGATGGTAATCGCTTTACTCTGCTCTGGTTAGACATCACTTAGAGTATTGTGTTCAGTTTGGGGCACCACAATTTAAGAAGGCTCTAGACAAGATGGAAAGTGTCCAGAGGAAGGCAACGAAGATGGCGAGGGGTCTGGAGACCAAGTCCTATGAGGAAAGGTTGAAGGAGCTGGGTATGTTTAGATGACTGAGAGGTGATATGATAACCATCTTCAAGTACTTGAAGGGCTGCCATATAGAGGATGGTGTGGAGTTGTTTTCTGTTGCCCCAAAAGGTCGGACTAGAACCAACCATTAGGAAGAAGAGTGGTTCCTCAGTAGAACGGGCTTCTTTGGGAGGTGGTAGGCTTTCCTTCTTTGGAGGTTTTTGAGAAGAGGCTGAATGGCCATCTGACAGCAATGCTGATTCTGTGAACTTAGGCAGATCATGAGAGGGAGGGTAGGAAAGGTTGCATCAGTGCTTAGTTCTCATGGCCCTTTCTTACATACCCAGGGAAATACCAGTCGCCACTTTGGGGTCAGGAAGCAATTTTCTCCAGGCCAGTTTGGCCAGGGATCCTGGAGGCTTTTTTGCCATCTTTTAGCCATGGAACAGGAGTCACTGGAGGTTGGGGGATTCATAGTTGTGAATTTCCTGCATTGTGCAGGGGTTGGACTAGATGACCCTGGCGGTCCCTTCCAATTCTATGATTCTAGTCTTGAAGGCACTAACAAGTTGTGGCCGCGGGGCCAACTTCCATGGATCAAAGCCCATCCAATCAAGATTGACCCATTCTTTGACTCAGTGTGTAAGGCTGTATGTGCCTTAATTATGAGCATGAGCCATATTTAGGTGGAAGAGCACATGCTTTGCTAGGCAGAATGTCCCAGATTAAGTCTCAACCATCTCTAATTCCAAGGACCTCAAGGAAGAGGGCTGAGAGCCAAACTAGAAGTGATGTGTGACAAAAATCGGAACACGAGTATCTGACCCAACTTGCCGTCCCAGAAGTGGAAAATTTACCTTGAAAGTCTTCTGTTGCTCTATTGGGCTGTGAGGGGGAGAAGGGTCTTCCAGCTTCCCTACTGTGCCATTTACTCCTTTCTCTGGCTCCGCATATCCTTCCTAGGATACATAGAGTCAGAAAAAGGGGAAACCGCCCCTCCAGGCCATTTCCACAGGCAAAAACAGCACAGTAGGGAAGCCAGACGCCCCCCCCCCCTGTAGCACTAAATGCACCTGGAGCTAAATAGTGCAACGGAGAGCTTTCTAGTAAGTTCCCTGGTTCTTCCATGTGACTGCCAGGTGCCGCATGATGGAGTGAGCTCCCATCTCTAGTTCCAGCTCCTGCCAACCTAGCAGTTCGAAAGCAAGAAATTGCAAGTAGATAAATAGGGACCACTTCAGTGGGAAGGTAACAGCGTTCCGTGTGCCTTGGTGTTTAGTCATGCTGGCCACATGGCCACGGAAACATCTTCGGACAGCGCTGGCTCTTCAGCTTTGAAACGGAGATGAGCACCACAACCCTAGAGTCGGATTCGACTGGCTTTCGAGCAAGGGAACCTTGACCTTGACCTTGAATGTCTAGTTTGGCTCTGCTGTCAGTGAAATACTGAGCTAACTGGACCAGTGTTCTGGCTCAGCCAGAAGAGTGCCATAATATCTCATATCTTTGAAGCTGTAACATTCTGCCCTTTAAAAGTCCCCACATCCTGCCCCTCCTGAGACCAATAAAATGTAGTGCTGTTCTGGAGAGGAACAAACAATAAGCCATGCGGAAGAGTATCACTACAGAAACCAAGTTGCAGTGCATTTCTTTCCCCTTCCTTGCTCAGGCCTAGCCCTGACCACTAATCTGCTGACACCATTATATATGTCAGCTGGGGCTAAGTCATTGCCTCTACGGGTGGTCTGCTCACAAGATAACACATCCCAGCTGCCCAGGACAGATAAAACCAGTGTGGTCCCGGTTGTGTGTAAAGTCACCCTCGCTTCCTCTTCTGCTGGGCTGGCGTTTTGTTTCAACGCTGTGGCTTAAATTGGGAAAACCAAAATCTGCAATGGGGAGAGCAGAGCAGAGGAAGTAAGGGGGTCTGGGCAAATGGGAAACACCTGCCCCTTCACCCCCATCCCCAGAGAAAGCTTGTTTGCTTATTTATCTAGCAATTACAACCCCACCTTGTTTAAAAAGTTCCAGGTGGCTAAGAATAAAAGTAATTTAAAACCCTAAAGCAATGTCAGACAGTGAGTCATAGCCCAAAATTACTGGTTTGGAAGCCAAAAGTATCCAGCATCATGTCTGCATGACTTGCTTCAGCTCATAAGCAGGATCTTTGGCAAAAACAGACCATCTGGTCTCTAACTTCTGGCCCATGGTGTGACTGAAGTTGGCAGTGTTACTACAGCAAACTATGCAGCCTCAAACAATCTGGCAGAGTTGGTTGTAAAATGGGCTGAATATAAGACTGCCCTCTTTAAAAAAAGGGTATATACAAACATGGATATCTTTCAAGATCTAGGAATCTTCAGTCTAAACGTAATTTGTTGTCATCCAAATGTGTGCACTTCAATAAACTGGAGTTTATTTCTTGACCACAGAACAGTTTTCTGAACTGTGGTTTAATTCCAGTTTGGAATTCCAGTTTTGTGGGTAAAAAACAAACTCAATTTGTTAAAAGGCCTGAATTAGGATACTGCAAGGAACTGTGTTTGGGTTAACAGCTCTGGGTGGCGAAAAACCTGGCTATTTGAGAGGTGGAGCCTAGGGAGGGTGGGGTTTAGGGAGGGGAGGGGCCTCCACCCTTCAAAGCAGCCATTTTCTCCAGAGGAACTGATCTTGGTCAGCTGCAGATCAATTGTAACAGTGGGAGATCTCCAGGTGCTACCTGGAGGTTGGCAACCCTAGGTTGCATTGAAGATTTCTTAAACCTACTAGTCTTTGTTCCTGACTTCACACATGAGGGAGGGAGGGAGGGAGGGAACATGAGAAAACAACAGGCCCTTTCTTGTCACTAACAAACCAAAGGTTAGTTGTGATGTCTGAATATAGCCTTCTTCTTCAAATACTCCCCTGGCATCATTTATTTAACCATTTTAGAATTTTCCAGAGTAAGGCTATAATGTTTGAAAAACTGATTGATTGATTGATTGTTTATCTAGCAATCTTGAAAGTCTTCTGTTGCTCTACTGGGCTGTGAGGGGGAGGAGGGTCTTCCAGCTTCCCTACTGTGCCATTTATTCCTTTCTCTGGCTCCAGTGTGCTCCTGTCTTGACTAACTGAGGTGGGAGGAGATGTTTTTTCACAAAAAGTACTACTGACCAAGCTGCCATCTTGGAAAAGACCTCCCCTTTTCTCTTACATACAAGAAGTCTGTTGGATTACTCAGACAATGACTGTGAAGGATCTACATAAGTGCTCTAAAGTTCTATATAAATACTTACTATTTTTATCATCACTGTGAGGACCCCACCCCCTCCTCTGCCTGAGACCCCCTTGATTAGTGTGGTCCCCCTCTTATTTTGGACTTAGCTGTTTTAATAGCCTTTTATAGCCTAAGTGCCAAGGGGATCTGAAACTTGAGGAGTCTTATAAAGGCACCTGGCTACAGCCATGACACTGGAAAATCCCAGGGAAGAGTGTTCTGAATTAGAAACTGATTAAAGGAAATCTCCTCCAACTCAGTGGCATATTATTTTCAGTAACAAAAGGACTACTGGAGACATCAGAAAATATCACAGAGGTGTCTGCCCAGCCCAAGGAAGTTGCTATTTCATTAACCAACACCTGGTTCCTCTTTTCCCCTTTTTCACTCAGTCAAGAAGGGTACTCATTAATTTATGTTCCATCCTGTATCAGGAGCTCTCTTGACTCACCCAAACTTTTCTGTCAATGCAGATCTGGCTAATTAATCAACCTAATTAAAGTATGTTAATCATGTGGCCTCACCCAGGCTGTTTGGGCCCATGTAGGTTGGGCTCACAATAGCCTAATCAAGGTATTTTCCCTACTTTTTCCTGCCAAAGTTTGACAGCAGTTAACTTTAAACCAGACAGTGAGATTCAAACTTTTTATCTTGACCCAACCCAAAGCCATGATGGCCCAAATCCCAACCACCTTGGAGATCTTCTGTTCATAAGAGAAGGACCAATGCCATAGCCAATGGTTTCTCAGATCCCTGGTCCAGATCTCTGCTGGTCAGAGCTCTGGTTTCCTGCCGAGGACCCCTGCTGCACTCCTTGCTTAGCTCACTCCTCGCTCTGCTCTGTGGACCCAGCTGTGTTTGCCCCTCAAGCTCTTCAGACCACTAGCTCAGGATTTCAGGTCCCAGTTTCCTCCCTCCTACCTTTATAAGTGTGCCATCTTGTTGGTGTGTTTGTGGTTACTTAGGGAAGTAGTCCTGCAGAGTGCAGGGGGTTGGACTAGATGACAAGGTCCCTTCCAACTCTAACATTCTATGATTCCTCAGGTGCCTATTCTTTACATCTTTATTCTTTTTATTTTATTTTGTATACAATAAAACTATTTATTTATTTATCACATTTATACCCCGCCCTCCCCACAATATAATCACTCTCACTCTCTTCATAATTTTATTTTGGGGTATCCCCACCAAGGTCCACCCTGATATAAACAAACTTACAAGGTCCTGCATTATTCCCCTTCTTTGGGTCCAGTTTGGGTAACAATCACCACCACCACAAAAGACAATTATAGGCAAACTGTGGTAGGAGCCATGCTGCTGGATATACTGCAATTGTAACCATTCACCTCCTGAATTCTCCTGTCCAGAAAGGAAAATGCAGGGGGTGAATGATTACAGGTGAGATATTCAACCATGTGTGGATCAAGCTCATATTAAAAATGAGGCCATTCCTGACATATGTTTAGCTCTTCCATGCCTAAAGTCTAGGAGTGATGAACTGCTATAACAAACTACCATGTTCTCCTGTCCTTCCCCCTAAACCTGCAATGGCCAATGATATGGAGTGTGGGGTACGGAAATGCAAAATATTGTGACATCACATTACAGTTAGGTTCTACTTAGACGTTATCAGCAGTCATTTTCAGCAGCCATTTTGTATTCTGTGTAACTTCTCTTTCTTCTCTGACAAGAGCCAGGATCTCCTCGCTCATTCCCCAGGTCAAAGCAACCACCTCCCAAACCATCTTTTAGCACACCTTCATTCTGTTGCCTTACCTGCCCCCTACAGAAAAATCTGAGATGGCATAATAGTAGGACTGCAGCACTTTGGGATCCCTGAAGATGTCATCCCCAAAGGTATTGAGCCGGTCCAAAGAGATAAGCAAGTCTGTGCCCGTCACCCACTCCTGTGAAGTTAGAAGCGCAGTGTTGATAAGAGCTAGGATAAAAATGACATTTCACAAGGGCTTGCAGTTCTCCTGAGGCTCAGAGAGGATTCATATATTACAAAGTCCTTGACACTGCCAGACATCTTTCTCTCAGAGGTGTGCTGAGTGTTTCCTAATGGGAATGCTGTTTCCAGGCACATGCTTGTCTGATTCAGCCTGGCACGGAGGGAGAACAGACTTCAGCCTCTCCCCTGCCAATCTCTCCAAACTTGGGTAAATTTAACACATAAGCTTCCCCCAGCAGAACATATTTCCACTCCCTAGGACCATTTCTGGTTGGGAAAACAGGGCAAGAGGAAGGTGCCAACCTCTCTTCTCGGCATGTCACTGACCCGCACTGAATCAGGCCCCCACGTGGCTAGGAAACGAATGCCCAGTGGAGCACAAGGGGGGCACAACTGATAAAACAGAAAGTCCTTATGGTGCCACGAGTTCGATTTCATAATGCGTGAATTCATCTTTAGATCCAAAGTATTGGGGGAGCCTTGAGTGCTAAGAGATGGTGCCCTACAGATCAGGAGATAGAGCTAGGAATGCAGAGGAGCTGGGGGTACAAGTTCTGGCAGAATGGGACTGCAACCCAGGAGAAGATACTGGGCATTTATTGTAGGGGGGCTTACCAGAGCTGGGAAGGCAAGCATATAGGACCCCAAGAAGTGATAGTAAAAGATGGGGAACACTTGGAGACCCTTGGAGACAGAAGCAGGTTGTTCCCTGGGCCAAGACCAAGTCGTGACCTGGAAGCACTTGCAGCTATTCCAGGGGGAGCCAATAGGCTCCCTGGGTAGGTGGAGCAATGTTGGAACTAGGCCTGGTCTCCCATTCTGTAGCCCCACCATTTCAACTCAGACCCCCCCCCCCCAATCTGATGTAACTTCTCCTTTCTACGACTCAGACCTTTTTCAGGGGAATTTCACAGCAGGAGATGAGGGGGCATCTGCGAATGATATGCAACTGACGTCTCTACAAAAGCAGGAGGACGAAAAACTTCCCAGCCTTTCACAAGCCACAGCTCACGACAACAACCCTACCAGCGATATTATTGTTAACCTTTCCCAGCATACTCTCAGTTTAGCAGAGGAATCTGTCTTTTCAAGAGGATTATCACCCTGTCCCCACTAAACCCACACAGACAATACAGCTCTATGGAGACTGGAGGCCTTTCCCCACCATCTGCTTTTAAAGGAATACTTTCACTGCACCACAGAAGAGAGCACTTTTGGACAGACAGTCTCTTCACAGCTTCAAAAATCTACTGCTGTTACCATGTCATACATATTTTTAAGCTATATTCTAATGCCATTACACCATATAGATAGGCTTGCCATTTCCCTGGGGGGGGGGGGGGTTGCCTGCTTTAGGGCCCCCCAATCCGCCAGCCTGAATCCGGCCGGCAGGGAAAAACTCACTCCTAAAGTGCTGGGATCACGGCGACGCTGGGCACGTCACGCTGGGCACGTCACTGGTGGGATACTCTAGCACTCGGCCTAAAAGCTCTATGGTACCATAGAGTTTCTGGCTGAATGTTATAGTGTCCCCCTGGTGACATGCCTCGTGCGATGATGTCACTTCTGGGTGAGGTCATTGCAGCATGCACGCTACGTGCACACATCACAAGATCCTATCAAAGAAGCTCTGTCCACTCACCAGCGGCAGGTAGGGACCTGGCAATCCTACATATATATCATGTTATATATTTAACTATTATGCCATATACTTTGTTTATATACCCATGTCTTCTGATAGAGGAATGTCCTCAATATCTGTCAAATTGCCCTTGCATTATGGTTTTGGTAGTTATATTCCGTATGCTTTTTTTCCCTATTCCTTTTTTCTTTCTGTATCCCCTTAAAAATGTAAAATAAAATTTATTAACAATCTACTGCCGAACAGCCACCTCCTCACCCTTCCATCAATGAACAGCATAAAAGTGACCTATTAGCTCCCACTCAACCCTACAGAAAGAAGAACTTCAGGGGGACTCTCCCTGAAGGTCACAACACCACATTAGACCTCTATATAGATTACTTGCACCGCCGGGCCCAAGCTGGAATAATCAACAAAAAACACCACTCAGGGTCCAGTCTCAAGCACACAGAGAAGAATGCCATAAGAGGCCTGAAAAACAATCCAGATATTAAAACAAAACAAGCTGACCAGGGAGGAGCCATTGTCATAATGGACAAGACAAACTATACACAAGAAGTGGAGTGGCAGCTCTCAAACACCAGTTTCTAAAGTCCACTATCCTCAGACCCCACACAGGAATACCAGTGAGAACTCAACAGAACCATGAAGAAATTACCAACACACATATAGGAACAAATTTATATGAATATACCCCAAGAATCTTAACTGGGCACTTTCTGTCTCCTGCCAAAGATACACAAACCTGGCAACCCTGGACGTCCCATTGTCTTGAGCATAGGCACCATCTCTGAAGGAGTATCAGGATACATGGACTCCATCCTGAGACCATACGTTATTAATACCCCCAAACTATGTCTGTGATACCACAGTCTTCCTGACGAAAGTGTATTCCATTGACCATCTCCCAGAAAACAGCATTCTAGCCACCAACAGTCTCAACAGTCTCTGTACACCAACATCCCCCATGAGGATGGACTACAAGCCATTAGAAACATCATCGCTCACAACACGATAGCAGATCTTGCTACTGAACTCTGCATGTTTCTTCTCACCCACAACTAACTTTGGGTTTGGTGAGAACTTATACCTCCAAATTAATGGCACAGCCATGGACTCCACAGTCTATGGCTCCACAGTATCCCAACATTTTCATTGCCGATCTACAGCATTTTCTGAACTCCTACCAATTGGCACCTCTCCTTTGAGATTCATTGATGCCATTTTCATTGTCTGGACCCATGGCAAAGAAGCCCTCAAAAGATCTCACCAGGCTTTAAACAACTTCCACCCCACCATCAATGTAACAATGAATTACTCTACACAAGAAATGAACTTCATGGACATCACAGTATGGATACATGAGGGACACATAAATACCACATTATACTGGAAACTGAAAGATCAGCAAACATATCTACATACCTCCAGCTACCACCCCAACCACATCTGTGAAGAAATGCATTTTTTCTTGGGAAGTTTGAGATGAGGAAAACCTCCACTTTGTGTGTTTTTAAACAGTTTTTTTCCTCTGGGCAGAGAAAGGGAGAAGTCAGTTCAATTATTTCCCAGACATACCTCAGCATACCTTCATACAAATGCTAATAGATCTAGAAGGTGGGTCAAGCTCTTGCCCTTCCTCAAGCAGGGAACAGAGAAGTGGAGGAACAGAATGTTAGAAAGCCTTCAGGAAAGAGATTCTTGGAGATCTCCAGGAAAGGCCTCTGTGACCTGGTGTGACTGGGTCAGTGGGAAGAGAAACAGATATGATAAAAAATTCCTTGCAGCAGGGAGGGGGGCTCTTTCATGCTGGGTCCATCAGAGGAGGGAGATGTCTAAGCTGAGGTGTGGGGGAGGCAGCCATTTTGACCATGTGCTCGCCTAGAGAGCTAGAGCAAGCTTCAAGGTAATGGTCACTCTGTAGGGATATAGAACTACTAAACTAAAGACCCTATCCTATTTTCCAACATCTGATAGGGCATGTATAGAAAGAGGGACAGAGGATTTGCATTTTATCCATTTCTTTTGAAATCCCTTGCTCAGTCTGGTGCTGCGCTAAAAGTATGCTTGTAAACATTTTATTTTTAATAAATATTTAATAACTCTTGATGATGGGAGCAGTTCTCTGTATCACATAGACCTCCACCATCTTGGACACACTATTTTAAAAGGAGCACCAGGATAAAGGCAGGCAGTTGGCAAGTGGATATTCCTCCAGGAGCATGCAAGGAAGTAAATTGTCCCCGTGGTGACCAGGCACTGGGCTGTGGGAGACACAGAGGCAAAGCCTTATAACTTGGAAGGAAAGCTAGGAGCCCTGACCCTCCCACTGGGTAATTCTGTACAAAGGTCATGTGGTTCACACCCAGGCTGGGTCACAATCTTCCAAGGAAAGATCCAACCATCCCAAAACCTGTACCTGGAGAATGGGGCTCTGGTCAAAGCTGTAGGCACTTGGCCGTCCTTCCAAGGTGGAGAAGGCCACATTGCCCCCGTTCAGTGGAGAGATATCGCTGAATTCTGCTGTGCAGAAGGCCACTTGCTCATCTTCTCCGGGTCGCAAAAATTGGCCTTCTGGTTTCCCATAGGTCTTTTTGCAAGAGGCACTATAGTACTGATATGGGATCCAGGGTCCCTCGGACCAACTCCGCTTGTATATGGCAAAGCTTTCTGGGCGGCTGGTGTGGAACTTCAGCCTCACATAGGTAATTTCATAGGATTTTCCTAAAGAAGGAAAAGACAGAGGATCAGAGAGATCTGCCAACATGAAACAAGGGCTGGCATTTGAAAGGTCAAGGAAGCTGGTCAGTTAACTGATTAAGATTCAAGTATTTGAAGCATTTATTTGTTAGAGGCCCTGACCTGGATAACCCAGGCTTGCCTGATCTCATCAGATCTTGGAAGCTAAGCAGGGTCTATCCTGGCTAGTCTCTGGATGGGAGACCTCCAAGAAATACTAGGGTCATGATGTGGAGCCCAACAATGGCAAACCCCCTCTTAACATTTCTTGCCTTGAAAACCTTATAGAGTTGCCAGAAGTCAGTTTTGACTTGATGCCCCCCCCCCCCCGGTAATGTTTTAGAGAATTCCAGCCCACATACAAATAGCAAAACTTACTGTTTTCCAGAAGACAGTACAGTCCACCCAAACAAATTCCCCATATGTTACTAGCCTGTTACTCCCACTTCTCCACACATATCTTTATGAGCCACTGGTGGCACAGTGTTGACCTTGGGTTCAGCTCTGTAGCAGGGTGCCAGATGCTGCAGCCGCCATGTCCAACAGATGCCTTGAAAAAGCAGTTCCAGGCCCTTCCTAACATCTGCAGCACAACTTTTACTCAAAGCACAAGAACAGAGAGAGCGGCATCTCCATGGCCAGCAAGAGGGCTTGTTAAGTCTGATACACCTGACTGGTCCACCATGTTGCTTACCAGTGAGATTTATTTCTTATTTCTTATTTATTTATTTGTTCAATTTATGGGGCCAACTCAAAAGTGGTGCCAGAAGTTGAGGCCCTGGGAGGTGAGCTATCTCTCCTTCTGGCACCACAAGTAACAGGGAGGAGTATCAGGGATTTTAACTGCTCTCTCCCTGACAGGACAAAAACAGTGAACTGTGCCTCAAATTGGAGCCAGGCATACTGAAGGAAAAAGGCAGCGAGTGAGGCACTTTGGGCAGGCTGGAGCCGGCACCCTGGACTAAGGACCTCCCCAGCCACAGAGGCTGCTGAAATGGCTGGTGTTATGTCAGAAAATGTCAGATTTTGTGACAAAATTTTACTAGCAGAGAACGCTTCCATGATACAAAATCTGACAGGCAGCCTTTTCTGACACTACACTGGAGGCAGCCGTGTCAGGCTGGAGTGAGGTGAAGTCCAGCTGCCGATTCTCCCAAACCTCCTTCCAAGGGAATGTGCCCCATAGCTCCCTCTTCTTCCAAAGGACATGGTGGTGGTGGTGGTGGGGAAGCCAATGCAAAATTACTGAATCAGAAACCAGCAAGAAGTATATTATTCCCCATGCCACCCCAACCCCCACTGGCATGAACAATTTACTCACTTTCAAATGGTGTTAATTGCTCAGCATTACTGATAATTAACCAACATTACAAATGTTAATCCATCCAGCTGTATCTTTATATGCTTCCTGAACTGCCCCAAATGAATTTGCCCAACAAATCTCATGCATTATTTTCCATAATTAGGTTTTATGTTAATTCTGCCCTGTCTTTCTATGAACAGTTGGGTTGCAGATCTCACCCATTCTAAATGGGCTGAGGACTGCATTTACTACAATGAAAGACTAGTTGTCATCGTCCTCTGTCAAGGCATGTTATAAAAACTGGGATTGTTTTATACTCACATACAATAGAAAAGTGCAAGAGCTCAGTAGCATCTTAAAGATTTACAAAAGGTTCAAGTATCACCTTAAAGACTAACAAAATTTGTGGCAGGGTATGGGTTTTTGTGAGTCACAGCTCTCTTCTTCAGATACTTCAAGTGTCAAGATGTGAGCAGTGATGCACAAAAGCTCCTACTGAAAACCCTACTACAAATTTTGTTAGTCTTTAAGGTGCTACTGGACTTCTACCCTTTTCTACAGCTACTGACAGACTAACAAAGCTACCCAGCTTGATCATTTGCATACAAATTACACTTATTTTCAAGGGGGCAGCCATGTTGGTCTGAAGCAGCAGAACAAAGTTTGAGTCCAGTGGCACCTTTAAGACCAACAAAGTTTTATTCTGGGTATAAGTTTTTGTGTCCACTATGTGCACACGAAAGCTTATACCCAGAATAAGATTTTGTTGGTCCCTAAGGTGCAACTGGAATCAAATTACAGTTATGTCCACTAAAATTTTTTTTAGTATGTGTAACATGGTAGGGGGAGGTCATCTTACATTCAGGGTTGTCTTCCTTTTCTGCAAATATGGTACCCTTTGACTGGTTCATGTTCTCCACTGGCTTCTCCTTTTTTCTCATCTTCACCCCCCCCCATCACTTAAACTCTTAATACAGATAAAATGCTGTATAACTGCTTTGGACAGCCAGTTAAACACATCTAATGAAATGGGCCCTCTGACTCATGAAAGTCCAATCCAATCTTCTCCTCCTCCTTCTCCTCCTCCTCTCTTCTCCTCCTCCTCTCTTCTTCTTCTTCTTCTTCTTCTTCTTCTTCTTCTTCTTCTTCTTCTTCTTCTTCTTCTTCTTCTTCTTCTTCTTCTTCTTCGTGAGTTCTGCCCTGTGCCCTGTGCCTAACAGCATCCTGTCCTCAGTTTAGAAACATTCATTCAGCTGGGCTCTGAGAAGAGGCAGGAGAGAGAGCTGCTGCTGGAGTGGTGAGTGTTTTATTATTTGTCTTTTGTTAACTGCTGAGGAGTAGTAGCTGAGGTTACTGTGTGGGAGGACAATGTTTGAGATTGTGTGGTTGTGTATAGCCTGTTGGAGAGTGGTGCTTGTTTGAAGAAGTGTGGTTTCTGTTTGTCTCTTTTGCCTGGGTGTCACTGATCGCAGCTTTTAGCAGTTTTGCCTGGGGCTGACTGCTGGCCCTGCCCTCTGTTGGGTGAGCCTTTAATTATATTAGGCTCCTCCTTGTCAGAGGTTCGAGCTCAAGGGCTCTTGCCCTGTGGCTCTTAGCCTGGGGATCGGGCCTGGAGACCCCATAAGAAGTTTAAAGAATTGTACATTGTTGTGCTTGTTTCCCCTTTTGGCTCAGGTAGCCATTTGGTCAGTTGTCTAAATTTCAGGGTACATCAGCACACCAAGGTATTCCTAGGTGAAAGAATCCATTTGGGGAAGTAATGATGAATGCTCACAGACCATTTCCAGTCACCTGCGAGGAGTGTGCCATGTTTGTCCCTCCCTGAGGACAAGATGGACTATGCTTGTCAGAACTGTAACCATAGAGTTTTCCCTTGTATGGCCGTGGCCCCGCCCCCAGCGTGCCCGGCGTCATGACATCACTGCCCTGTGATGCGCACGCCGGGGCAGGGTTCTCCCCGGGGCCCGATCTCCCGGCATCTGGGAACGGGCCTCTGGGGCGGGGGATTTTCCGTTCCCCGGGGGGATTTGGCAGCCCTGTGTTGGCTGCTTAGGAAATAATAACGTCAAAGAGAGTTGTTGTCCCTGTCAGCTAGACAGGAGGCCGGGCGAGTTTCAACCGCTCTCCTGGAGGCCCGCTCGCTTCCTTTTCTCCTCCCGGCCGTGGGGGAAGGGGGGAACGCTGAAAGGGGCCCGGGAAGACACCAGGCCTTTCCCAGAGGCAGGGCTCCTACAGGTGGTGGTGGGGAATAGGGAGCATGCACAGAGGCGACCGGCTGGGCTGGGTGGGGGGCGGCGTGCGCTCCTGCCTGCCTGCTGGCCCCTCCTCCCTTCTCCTCCTGCAGGCCAGGCCCAGGGCAGCAGGCACTCTCTCTGGGCGTCACTCTCCCCCCCCCCAAGGCGGCCAGCTGGGAGGTCTCCAGGCCCCACCGGGAGGTTGGCATCTGAGGGGGGCGCCACGAGACGGCCTCACCTAGGGCGCACAAACCCCTCGGGCTGGCCCTGCAGAGAGGATCCCTAAACTCATCAAACCTACAGAGCATTACCTATTTGTGATGGTCCATGTGGGAACTAACGACACGGCCGTAAAAACATTAAGGCGAACTATGAAGCTCTTGCGAGGAAGCTGAAGGGAATGGGAGCACAGGTGGTATTCTCTTCAATCCTTCCTGTCATAGGAAGGGGAATATGATGGGAACAGACGATAATGGAGGTTACCTACTGGCTGCATTGGTGGTGCCGGCAGGAGCAATTTGGATTCTGGGACCACGGGCTAGGTTTTCTGGACAACAACCTACTAGCACATGATGGACTTCACCTGTCAAGGTCAGGGAAGAATGTGTTTGCCAGAAACCTGGAGGGCTTTAAATTGACACCACAAGGGGAAGAAGATGACCAACATAGGGATTTAAATGAAGGACAGCAAACAACAGAGGCCCACCTGGGAGGGCCGGGTCTAATGGAGCCAAAGGTGTGGGGCTCCAGGTGTCTATGTACCAGTGCTCAGAGCTTGGACAATAAGAAGGAAGAGTTTGAACTTCTAATGCAGAGGGATATGATTTAGTAAACATTACAGAAGCTTGGTGGGATGATTCCTAGGACTGGAATGTAGTAGTGGATGGATACAAGTTGTTCAAGAAAAACCGAAAGGGTCAAAGAGGGGGCGGAGTGGCGCTGTATGTGAAGAGAGGGTTTGTTGTCAGGAAATACGGCAGGAGGAGGGTGACAGCCCAGTGGAAAGTACCTGGGTGAGGATAAGGAAAGGAAGGACAAACAGTATTGTGGTTGGAGTCTGCTACAGACCTCCTGACCAGGATGAGGAGGTGGACGCTGCCCTCCCTGAACAGCTTGACAGGGGATCCAAACAACATGACCTGGTAGTTATAGGTGACTTCAACTCCCCTGATGTGTGCTGGGAGACAAACTCTGCAAAGCGTCCACAGTCACGCAACTTCCTTATCTGTCTGGATGACAACTTCCTTCATCAAATGGTGGAGGAACCTACGAGGGGATCAGACATACTCATCTTAATATTAACCAACAGGTAAGAGATCGTAGATGGGGTGAAGATGGGGGGGGGCGGGACCTTGTCCTGCTAGAATTTCTTTTTCTGCGGGCGACCAAGGAAGTTCATAGCCACACGTGTATGCTAGATTTCAGTACTGCAGACTTGAATAAACTTA